TCTAATGTAGGTAAAGAAATAAGTTCCGTACTTTACCGCAATATAGCAAGGGTTTTTATATTCCCGGTCGGTTATGACTTAAAAGGAAAATACATTACCGTCTACAAATTCAAATAGTTTGTTGTAACAAAAGAATTTCTTTTTAAATTTTGAATACGCAATTAATAGCAAAGTACGCGAAGTTGCCACTCAAAGAATAAGTTTATAATTTATTCTGGTTTACCTTGCTTAACATCGGGGTTACAGAATAATTAAGACATTTAAAACAAAAGCTGCCTGCGGTTAAAAAGAATGAAAGGAGGAAAATATCTTAAGTTATATGCAAAGGTATTTTTACTCCAATGTTTTACTCGGTAATAATTCCGTATTTTAATGTTTGTATTTTTAATATATTTACTTTAATTAAAATGTAATTTAACCAAATATCGCGAGTGTTAAAATGTAAATTTACTTACTACGATACAAAGTTTGTTGAAATGATGACTCACAGTAATCAACCAGGTGTTGTAGACGTGTTACGATTTAAACTAAGCCGGGTAAACCTAATTACTAAGAGATTATGGTCTTAAGGATATCGTACGTAGATAATTATGAGTTTCAAGACAAATTTACTTTGCTTATATCTTGTAAACGTAGTCCTTAATATTGTATATAGACACGGAAAATGATAGAATAAGTAATGTCAAGACTAAAACAAAATTACAGGCATAGTATTTAATACTTAGGTCAAGTAATTAACGTAACGATTGTCCGCGCAGTTCAGAGGGGCGCTAACCACAAATGTCAGAACTCAGACGGACTCTGTAATTACACTTGTCAACTGGAATAGCAATTAAATGTAATTACTATAATTCATATGAGTACTAATTATGTTAGGTTTATTAGATTTCACTCACAGTTACACCAGCAGGACAACTTTTCTAACATTTTTTAATATCTGGACAAAAAATTGTTTTAGGAACAATACTGAAACGACAGAAAACTGACGGAACATAGTTTGAAGGACTATAACGTGATAACGAGAAAAATAAGGCAATGATGATTAAAGCTTATTAAATGTTACTTCGAGTTTCTAATAATTTCTAATCTATTCAACAAAGAATATTTAGACATTCTTAGAAAAGCGTAATTTTGATGCTGGTAAAGTGAAAATTCAAACAATCGGTTTATTTTTGTGAAAGAGTTTAATCAACTTGGGATAGTATATGTTGAAGAAAACTTACCACTTTAACATGTTAATTACGAACTTGTTAAAGGAAAGTTATGGGACACCATTTAACTTGTCCGTACAACTTTAAACTGTTGCGGTTGAAGACCTTTCATGACGCGTTAGAAGATAATCATTAACCGAACTATCAAACTCTTCTTTTACATAAAGATTCATTCATTGTTTCATAAACTGAACCATGTACTAGTAGTTAAGGGGAGGCTGAAAACCAACGCGGCTTTTTTTATTTTTATTTCATTAATATGTTTTGTAAATTGCGCCGACCCTACGGGAGTAGGATAAGGAGATGATGATAATGATGAATATGTTTTGTAAATTCAACAGTGCTAGAGCCCGCTTTAACATCTTCGCACGAATGGGTCTGCTCGTTTGGTGTAATACCACGACCACACAGAAGACAGGCGTGAAGTGGGAGTAATCTCGCGTTTTGTCTCATGAGTGTGGTGCCGAAGGCCTAAATTTAATCCCTTTCCCTTTCCACCCTTTTCTTAAGAGGTAAGGATGGGAAGGAAAAGTGAATTTGACGCTGGAGGAAGACGCGTAGGAAGGGGAAATGCCCTCTTTATGTGCGTCTCCTCCACCATCAATTAAAAGTAGGCAACATATCTGCAATTGCGGATGTTTATGGGCAGCGGTCGCTTTCCATTTCGGTGGATTTGGGTGGCCGCTTGCTCGTTTGCCACCTTATATTATAAAAAAAAAAATTCAATGTGCTGTTCTGAAAGTCATAAATTTTCAAATTATGAAATATTCAGCAAATATAATAAAAACATAATAAATTATTCAGTAAAGTTAGAAATATGACATCATCTAAAGAACTAGAATCTTAAAATTGGCAAATTCACAAACAAGGTCAAGTTATACAAAGTGGCTAGAATACAAACGTTTTATCTAACCTGTAGGTGACAGATGACAAAACAAGCTTAAATTGAAGATATTGTAAAGATATTCCAAAGGAGACTACTGCAGCTACTTCTAATATACAATTATTCGTATAATTCTACTTCGTACCTTGTTTATTCATTTTAGATGAAAATAAAAGCGTCGTGGAAATTGCTCGCGTGAAAATAAAACTCATTCCGCGGGAAACTTAATAAAGAGCGATAATCAGGCAATTTCACAGTTTAAGCTCTAGGATATCTGTTATGGTGTATATCTTTATATTTTTTTAAGTTGCCACCCAGGTTAAGAGTTGGAAGCAAGGGTAGGTTATTATTTAATTTCAGAGAAAATACTAAGTCTCTACATATAGCTGGACTTCAGGACTCTGTATAACGTCAAGATGTAATAAAGAACACGTTACTATTCCTATTACCATTTTGATAAATAATTTTAGCAAAACTTCTCCATAAAATCCGCAGTCGTGTTAATGAATTTTTGTGGTTATTTATTACCTACTTAATTACTTTACTTCGGAAGTTCACTGAGTTTAAGAAATTATAATTATATTTCTATTAACAGGCATATCTTCATAGAGTCTGTACAAAACGGAATTAAAAAAAATCGTGATTTTTCGTTTTTTTTTTCTATTCTATGTGAATTCAGCCAGTTAATCTGTACTTAGACTTTTTTTTCTTTATCAATTTATAAATTTTTCTTTCGTTGTCATTTGATTATCTTAAACCGTGTACGGATCCCCTAAGTTGATTCTATATCAGCTATTTAGTTATCCGGTGTAGATATTATTCACACATTTTATGAGCGAGGGTGCGAAATTGAATTTATAAAGGCAATTTTCTTCAAGTGCTTATAAGTTAATATTTTTGGACCATCAAGTCTTAAAGATATTATTTTAAACGATAAATTATATTTTTAATTATAACTGACTAGCTTTCGTCCGCGACTCCGTCGGGGTGGAATTAAAAAAAAAACAAAAGTAAGTAGCCTATGTGTTTTTTCCGACTATCCTCTACATCTATACCAAATTTCATTGAAATCCGTTCAGCCGTTTAGGCTACAAACTCTAACAAACATCCATCCATCCATCCATCTAAACTTTCGCATTTATAATATTAGTTAGTTAGATTATAAATACAAAGATAAAATTTATAAATACAACATACAGTAATCTAGAAATTGGTTATAAAGAAAAATAACACACTAAACGATTACTTGGTTCTATCTACCCAATGTAATATACATTATGAAAAGAAACCGAAACAATTTAGCTGAACCCGCTTCGAAACGCATTATCTAAATGAGATTGCCCAATTATTATTTTTTATTGCTGTAAACGAAACGGGCGTGGGGTTCACTTTCATGTTATATATTTCTTCACCTTTCTCGAATTTTTCAAAGAGAATGTTAATGACATTTACGTTATTTGCACCTTTAAAGAAATTGCTACGCATTATCAGCTTTTCTTTCTTTTCTGTATATTAAAGGCAGTAATAAAGGCAAGTACACGAAGAGTCAGATAATTCTCTATACGTTTAACGTGAATTAAAAAGAAACATTTTCATTATATTACACATTTAGTCCTGATATGAAATCGAACTGGTTTAAGTCTAAAGTATCTACCAAACAATAAGTATATCAATATGACAAAAACTACAGGTTTTTTTTTTAATTACATTCAAATCACAGACAAATTAAACAATAAGTCCGCAATATCTTCATTAAGTTCCACTTTTCAAAGGTCGGCGATGAAAAAAGCTATCTGCACTTACAAAACCGCGACTTTGAATAGCATAGTTTTTTTTAGCTAAGATATCCTTTTTCGTCCTACTGTAGCAAAAAATATTAGCTTCCGCAGTACTAAAAAATATAAATTGTGCTTCCCTAAACTAATTAGCGTCATAAAGATAAAAAAATACAATTGTTAAAGCATTAAAACGATCCATAAGAATCTGCAATATAATGATTACTTTTAAAACAAAGACTGGAATAGTTACGCGTAATTAAACTAATACAAGTTGTGACCACTGCCCTTGCGGTCCGTGTCCCTCAGCCCTACGGATAATTAATGGTCGACTGTTGAAACTGATAATACGTTAACTTTAGTTACTAACTTAAGTTATATTGCACAATGTTTTCAAAGATTTTTAAAGATCACTTACAATATACAGCTTAACCAATAATAAAAATCCTGGCTTAGGGATGCGTTAATCGGCTGCTCATTTCCATTAATTTAGTTCCACATTTTTCCGCAATTTAAGATTTTTATATCTTTGGTCAGGCCATTATACAAACAATATTCTTTGTCCCATGCACTTAGGAATTCATGTTAATCACATTAATCTTTGAAAAAGATTTATATTATACCTATATGGTTGTATCATTTTATGTTTTAAAACCGCAGGAAAGAAGTCTCACAGAGAATCTTAGTTATACGAAGTTTGCACGAACACTGGTTAATAAAACATCGACCGAACATCACAAATCATTCTCATTTACGCAGTTCGAATTTCTAATGACTACATTTTTTTTACTAAATATGCATTTGTTAAAATTAAACGTAAAGTATTGAACGATTTGCATCTTTAATTTTACCTTAAATATTTCTAATATTATAAATGTGAAAGTTTAGATGGATTGATGGATGTTTTATAGAGTTTGTAGCTTAAACGGCAAAACGGATTTCGATGAAATTTGGCATAGATGTAGAGGACAGTCTGGAAGAACACAGACTACTCAGTTTTATTTTTTAATCCCACGCAAACGGAGTCGTGAAAGCTAGTAATGATATAAAACTTTAGTTATTACGTTAATTGTCGAAAAAAAGTAAACCATTAGAAATGACTTCTTGATATATATTTCAAAGTATATTCACAATTTAATTTTTTGTATTTCCTTTTTAAATTGCTTTGCCGCAGTATACAAATCATATTTAACTTTGGGATATCCTTGTAAAAGATCTTGCCAATCTTTATATGTTAAGGAAACGATATCAACAACCTGAGAAACAATTGGAGGATTTGAAATAATAATAAAAAAAATGCTAAAACTAATGATGTGAATATTCAGATGGATGGATGTTTGTAGCCTAAACTGCTGAAAGGATCTCGATGAAAGGCATAGATAGATATAGAGAATATTCTGGAAGAGAATACATAGGCTGTTTACTTTTGTTTTTCTTTAATACGCGGACGGAGTCGCGAGTGTAAGCTAGTAAGACATTTAAGATTTAAAAGCACCTCCAGTATTACTTTTATTTCTATCTTTTTCGTTGTTTCTACATCTTATTAAAAACTGTTATTGTTAAACAATACTTACAGTACGTGAGATGTATGAAAACAAAAATGGTGAATTGGGAAAAAGGCCGGGTATAAAACCGAAGTAATCGTTCGTAGTCAATACGGTTAGCAACTTTTTTTCACCGCTGAAAAAGTAGAAAATGTTTGAAAGCATTAAAAAGGTAATTGCGTTAAAAATGCTTTAGAGATAATAGATTTATTATATTAACGGACAAAAGTTAATCCTAATTCTTAAAATTATTTGCGTACCTTTTATCTGTACCCCATTTTTCAACTTCTCCTTCATGAATGAAATATATACAGGGATATATGTCCCCTTCTTGCACAATCATCTTCCCTAATAAAACAACAATCTTACCAATCTTTTTTTAATAATGTAAGGTGGCAAACGAGCAAGCGGCCACCTCAAACCACCGAAATGGAAAGCGACCGCTGCCCATAAACATCCGCAATTGCAGATGCGTTGCCTACCGTTCCTATGCGTCCCCTCCACCGTCAAATCCCCTTTTCCTTCCCATCCTTTCCTCTTAAGAAAAGGGTGGAAAGGAAAAAGGACTAAAATTAGGCCTCCGGCACCACACTCATCGGACGAAACGCGGAATTGCTTCCACTTCACGCCTGTTTTCTGTGTGCACGAGGTATTACACCGGGCGAGCCGGCCCATTGGTGCGAAGATGTACTACTGCTTAAGTTTAGATGGATGGATATTAGAGCATGTAGCCTAATCTGCTGGACGGATCTTGATGCAATTTGGCATAGATGTAGAGGATAGTCTGGATACATAGGCATACTTTTTAAAATCCCACACGGACAAAGTCGCGGATAAAAGTTAGTAAGTAAATACTTTGAAAATTTTGTTTTACTCATCGAAGATCTTATAGCAATAAAAACAAATATTGTGAGATCACATTAAGCCTGCATACCTAGACTTCATAAAAAAATTCAAAATTTCGCAACTACTATAGCATGAAAACCCGTTGTTTAATTAAAAAAAGTATTTTAAATTTGCAATAACCTGGGAAAATAACAACTCTACTTAATCTCGTCACCAATTGACGTAAGAAATATTGCGGCAAATCTTTTAGTAACGGTGGCGACGTCAAATGGTATAAGTAGAGAGCTCCAAGAATATCTTCACGAAGGCATAGCGGTGCATTCTGTACTAACTCTGGTAACCAATTACCTATGAAAATATTATTTCTATACTATTGTAAAGAGGAAAGATTTGTATTTTTACATGTATTGAAATAACTCAAAAAGTACAAGGCCGATTTAAAACATTCTTTTATAATTAGAAAGCTACGTCATGGCTAAGTAACTTAGGCTATATAAAATGTTCATCTGAGCGTAATCGGAAGTGTAAAATAAAATTATACAAAAGTTTGAAAAACAGACATTAAAAACATACAGACAAATTCAGCACCTTCTTTTGGGAAGTCGGTAAAAATTTAAAATTAAAAGCAAGTCATATTTACCTCTCTGTCTTTGCCACAAATGTCTCGTATAATGGTCCACTGCTTGCAAGAGAGTCGGGGACAAGCCGGTATTTTTTAAAAATGTTAAAAACTTCATCACTTTGTAATCGTATTTATACAAATCATTTAATTTAGTATACACAGCGCTAACGGCGATTGATAGTATCCAAATATCCATGAGATATATGACAAAGTTAATGACAATTTTATAATATACTTGTTTCTCACTTAGAGATACAACCTGAAAATGTGATAAGAAATTATCTTAGAGTTTCTTATTTAACCCTTAAATGCGATTTTGTACACCTTTTCGATAACAAACTATCTAATACAAGACCAGTATAAAGGAAAAGATAAAAAATTAACAATCCAATTTATATATTTTTTTATGAATACTATATACAACCTATCCCTTATCTTTTAGTTATTATACTATTACTAGCTTATGCCCGCGACACCATCCCTTTGGAATTAAAAAGTGAGTAGCCTATGTGTTCTTCTAGACTATACACCATATCAAATTTTCATCGAAATCCGTTAAGCCGTTTAAACTGCAAACTCTAAGAAACATTCACCCATCTAAACTTTTCCATTTACAATATTAGTATCAGTATGAAGTATAATTATAAAGAGGAAATATTTGCATTTTACATGTAACGAATGAACTTAAAAATCTCTGGACCGATAACAAAAACACTTTTGTCATTTAAAAGCTACATTATCACTGAGTAACATAGCCTATATTATATGTTGTTTATTTTTTTTTAATCCCACATATTTAAATAATATAAAGAAACTTACGGATTCCATCTCTGTACTCGTATATAACACTAATATATACGTCATAGACACAATATAATCAGCTGCCCAGGTTTTAGGCACAATAAAACCGTATCTTACTTTGCCATTTACTAAAAAAGACTTCGTCATTCTCGCACAACCTAAATTACAATTATTAATGTTAAATAAGGAAATTCGCTGAATTTACAAATAAACAAGCTTGAAAAATCAAATATAAATAAAATAGATGAAATTTAGGGCCTGTCCCACCGAATTGTAAATTGTCTGATAAAAATTCAACGTGAAAAATTTGTGATGGAAATATCGAAATTGTTACTTTATCTGACTGTGACGTTATTTTTAAGCTATCTGAGCCTCTATCAGCCAGTAGTAGGACAGGCTCTTAATTTTTTTTTAAATAGCTGTAAAAGTATGTGTCAAGAAGGACACAAAGGGCTGAAGTTCTAAAAGAACAGTACAAGAGCTGTTACATATATGTGACTTTCCATATTAACTTACCGCCACCTTTTCTGTCTTGAGGCAAACTCCATTCCGAGTAATCAATTGTAGCATTTACATCAGGTGGTAAAGGTGGCACTTTTATAGGAATCACTTCGTCTGCAATATTGAATAAGTACATCTATACTAATATTACAAAGAGGAAACATTTGTATTTTTGTATGTATTGAAATAACTCAAAAACTACTAGGCCGTTTTTAAAAATTCTTTCACCGTTAGAAAGGTTATTTATCTGTGAGTAACAAAGGCTATATACTTTTATTTTTTTTCAATTTCACGCGGAAGAAGTCACGAGCCACATCTAGTCAGTAATATTATAAAAAAAAACCACGAATACTGAAATACTAGAATACCTCTACATGCGACTATAATCCAACCACAAGTCATAGCGTGAAGCACCAATATTACTGATAAAAACTTTAGTATTATCGGTCCAACTCTGCTCTGAAAATTTTAAACATTTTATTCTACTGTAATCAAAAAGATTCAGAAAATAAATAGAGTAGGCATAGTTCAAACTTCACTTGAAACATCATTCACATAATCTCACAATTGTTACAGTGGTAGAGCCAGCTTTAACATCTTAGCACTGCGGGGCCGGCTCGCCCGGTGTAATACCATGACCACACAGAAAACAGGCGTGAAATGGAAGTAATTCCGTGTTTCATCTGATGAGTGTGGTGGCGGAGACCTAATTTAAGTCCCTTTCCCTTTACCACCCCTTTCTAATAAGGAGAGGATGGGAGGAGGAAGTGGATTTGACGGTGGAGGAGATGCATAGGAAGGGGAAATATCCTCTTTATGTGTGTCTCCTCTTCCGTCGTATAAGGGTAGGCAACGCATCTGCAATTGCGGATGTCTATAGGCAGCGGTCGCTTTGCCATTTTGGCGGATTCAGGTGGCCGCTTGCTCGTTTGCCACCTTATGTTATAAAAAAAACAATATAATTAATAGTATTTAAAGTAATTGCCAAAGGATAACATAATATTTAATGTTGATATTTTATTTTTAAAAGCTGGTTAGTTTATTTTATAACAAATTATGTAGCTTATTACATTTTCGTGAAATATGTATTTTTTCCCTACAAGAACACAAGATGGCACTAAACTTGACAACTGATATAGTACCTTTCAGAAAAAGTAGAAAAAAATGTGTTTACTATGCCGAGTCTATATCTATCTATACTAATCTTACTAATATTGTAAATGCGAAAATTTAGATGGATGGATGGATGTTTGTTAGAGTTTGTAGTCTAAACGATTGAAGGGATCTCGATGAATTTGGCATAGACGTAGAGGATAGTCTGGAAGAACACATAGGTTACTATTTTTTTTTAATTCCACGCGGACGAAGTCGCGGGCGAAAGCTAGTATTTCATAAATGTCTGACTGTAATGCAATAACTATGTGAATTATTTGTTACCTGAAAGCCTGTACAAAAGTAACTATGAAACTCATAAAGCAACCGTAGTCGAAGTAATCTAGCCAATTGATACCACCAGTTTCCAGTCAAAAACGTCAGAAGAGGAACAAAAAGCGATATCATATCACAATAACAACCCCATCTTAGAAATCTTCTATGCTTTACTAAACGCATTATGCATTTGCCATCTACTACCGTCATCTCTGCCTAAAAACAAGAGTTATCTCTTTGATGTCATATAGTAAATTGAAAATGGCGATAAAGGTAACATAAAAAAAATTATCGATGGACTAAATTGATCGATGGGATAAAATTGATTTTAAATATAAAAGCAATGAAAACCGGAATTAAAAGTTCTTAACATAACAGCATTATAATAGATTGTAACATAATTGGTACTTACTGAAAAGAATTTGGAAAGTATACTAAAAAGGTGTATGACATCGAGTATAGCTAGAAGTATAACAATGTTGTATTTAACATCATCATCTACAGTCTCCAGAGTGAGGACCACTGTGGAACTAATGACCGGCTCTATCAGCCAAGTTAGGAAGAGCCATTGGGCGTATCGAGTGCCGATATTTGCTTCCATGTGAGTTGTCATCCACTAGAAGAAAATTATGGGAAAACCGTTAAACAAACACACTCATAATAGAATTCCTATCTCCACTTCTAAGATCTAATTTTGAAGTAAGCTGTTATAAAACCATAATCTATACTTCTATACTATTATAATAAAGCGTAAACACACACTTCTTTGTTGCCTAAGATGTCAGCAATTACAGCATATTTTTGAATAATTCTTTTTTTAATAAAAAGCCCTACACTTACGTCACGCTTTAGGCTATATACTTTCACGCCAATAAACTTAGGGGGTAAATATTTTGGATAAAATCCCTAATGTGGGAAAGAGACCATAAGTTGCTGCCAACATTAAGAAAACAAGATTGCCGAGGTTTGTCATGTTATGTCAGTTTGACATTTACTATTGATAATTTGACAAATGTAAACAACGAAATAATTTTTTTTATAATTTCATGCGGATGAAGCCGCAGGCAACAGCTAGTTTATTATATATTGTATTATCACTTACAGGAAGTTTGAGTGATTTTCTACCACGAAGTATATATTGTACAGTATTATGTGGATCCTCGACTACCGGTTTGTTTAGTGCCATAAAGTCTTGTTTTATATGACGTTCCAAGTTGGCTCTTGCCTGCAAAGTAATGTGATAACTGAGTTTTTCAAGTTTATCATAATTGATTCTAGTTAAGTCTGTACAATTTTAATTTCACAAATTCAAATTGAGGTAGTAGAGACGAGCCTAAAAATGAGGTAACTACAAATTCTTTATTATCTTGAAGTAGTTTGCATATTTTTGTATTTCTGCATTACGTGAGATTTAAAATGACATTGGTTAACATACATCATGATTGAGAGCTTCTTGGAAATCCGCAATAGGTATCACTAGTACATCTGCATAACCATCTGCTTCAGCCGACACACGCACTGGCCGCGGCTTAATTCCATCCAGTTGACCAAATATTGCACCCTGATAAATAAAAACGCTATGTTCGTTTATTTATTTCTTTATGATCGGTTATTTTCTTAACCTGTATATATATCTTTGGTATTCCAGTTTAATTTTCAAATTCTATTGATAACCTTCTCTAGCACCGCCAATTTTTCTTCATTCCTCTTCACAATAATATTACCACGATGAACCACACACACCCACGGTGTTAGATCCATCTCTCTCAGTAACTCTTGGCCAGGCAAGAAGTACATCTGTCTAGAAGCAGCCGCCATATTTCTTTCCAACTGCTCACCACCTTGTAGAACACTATTGAGCGCTGTAAATGTTCTACAAAAACGTATTATTTGAGACCCAAATTTATTTTGAAATTAAACAGTAAATTGAATTAGATACGTACTGTTTATAAAAGTAATAGCTTAAATCTTGTCTGAAAGCGACACCAATACGATCACTCATCAAGTTGTGTACATCAGTTCCTTTGGTCCTGAATATTAAATTTATTGATGGTTATTGTTATAGAAATTTGACAGTTATGCGTAATCTATTTACCTTTTCCAAATGTATTTGAAATGTTCTTGAGCATAATCAATAAGTTTCTCGTCAACTCTTTCTGCCTCTAGGAATCTTTTTAGTTGAAAAACTCCATGCTGGTAGATTGTATTCCCACGGAAATGTAATACCAATAAAGTGAGATTATAACAAAGTACGAACCTAAGAAAAAATACAAATCTATAATAATATTTTGTATCATTTCGTATCTCTATGTATTCATAAAATATTCGTTACGCACCAAAAACTACATCCAAGCAACAACAAAACGATAGACGTTCCAATATCTTTTCGAGTTTCTTCAAAATTCCCCAAATCAATTCTAAGTAGTCCATTTTGGGCGAAATTCAAACTTTGCGCGAATATCTAATAAAAATACATGAAATGCACCAAACAGTAACTGGTAATTTTAACGTTATTTTACTGTCTAAAGAAATAACTTACCATACCGATACCGTCATAGGTGACAGTATTATTATCAAACACAGTGTGACTTGGCAACCAACATCTGCTTATAAGAGTAGCGTTGATGAACCCTCCGTTAGCATCCCAGTTAAAGTTAATACAGATCTTGATAAAGTAATGGCTGACGGCAAACATCACGAGAACAGATATCAATTGCCATTTAAACATCTAGAAAACAAAGGAAGAGTCAAAATTTAAATCTCGCCTCCACTAATATTATGAAGAAGATTTGCATTTTTCGACGTTACAAATTTTTAAAAATTCCACCACCATTAAAAAGCTACGTTATCAGTAGCATAGACTATTGATTTTTATATTCACGAGGCGTAAGTCGTGAGGAACAGCTAGTAAAAAATATTTTTTCAATTCCTTCACCACTTAAAAGATATACAAACCATAATATAAGCAATATTGGCAGTCGGAGTATCAGCCAAGTAATCAAAATATCCAATCACTATATACAAATGTGCAAAACGACTGAATGTATTTATAATCAAGGCATCGTCATCTTCAACGACTTTACTCATCACCACAATGTATATTTCATATATGGGTAATAGTCCAATAGCATCCATGAGAAATGTGCCCGTTAAATAGTGTCTGAGGCAACATCTAAAATCAGTTATAAGAAGTCCTCGATGATCGTAATAAGGCATCTGAAATTGCAAAACTATTTAGCGAAAAATAGCCCGATAGCAAAAATATGGTATGATCCAAGTCGGATCACGTCTAGTTTCATTTAAAAAGCTAAGGGCCTATCCCACCACTGGTTGATAGAGGCTCAGATAGCTTAAAAATGACGTCAATCGCAGATAAGAGAATTAAATCCGATATTTCCATCATATATCTTACATGTTGGATGTTATCAAACAATATACAATTTGATGCGACCGGCCTTACAAGGTTTGTGGGATTACTTATGGTTAGTTAAATCAGATAATGTAGGGACTTTCATTGAAATATGGAACATCTAATTTGTTTTATTGCACAATTTAATAACATACAAATAGCTTCAAAATGATATCGATCAGTCCGACGCCGTCGCAAAATGCTCCTGCAATCATCAATGGCGATCGCCAATAAGCTCCAATGCCACCTTTGAAACCAAAATTATTACGGATTATTACACCCAGATTATTAAAAGTTTCAATTAATAAGATGGCGAAATTTGAACCCACGACAACTAACCCTTAACTACGTCATTGGTGATTCACAGAATATTTCACTAAAAGTCGAAAGGTCTCTTACCTTGTAAAGATCTTGAAATAATTGATACACACACAACTATAACTCGTAGGAGCATCCAGTAATGCCAGAATCTGTAAGTTTAAATAAATAGGACTTTTACCACACAAAACAACACATAAAATCTAATATACAGCAAATTAGCGCTAGTAAAAAAATCAATATCGTAAAAGGAGGTAAGCTAATACTGGAACGGCCGCTACTTCGCTGGTTTTGAACTGGCCTCTTTACACACAAGTATTTACACATAGTTGACTAAGTTCGAATTATGACAGCAAAAGTGGTAGCGCCAGTAAAAATAACATCTGTTGAATTTGATCTGATGAATCGGTCTAATACCATAACCAGACAGAAGAGGAGCGTGAAGTGGAATCAATTTAATGAAATAAGCGTACCAGAAGCCTAATTTACGTCCTGCCCCTCAGACAAATGGACATTCGATTAGCTTAGTAGAATCGACACAATGTGTCAAAATGTATAGGAATTAATACGTGACAAACACGTGACATATCAAATGTGATTGTAATTTCCATACATTTTGGACTTTTCGATCAGCGATAGCGATAATAGAATATTACATTGTCTAAGGGTGCTGTTCTCCTTCCCATCCTTTACTTGTAACGGATTAGTACGAGAGGTGGATTTAGCAGGAAACACAAAGTAAAGGAAAATATCCTTTGTTTTTAGGGCAACGCATCTACAAATGTGGATGTCTACGAGCAGCGGTTTCTTCACTATTTTAGTGATTTTAGATGACCGTTTGCTGGTTTGACCGTGAACAATGGAAGATTTACAATTTTTTGGCATTTATTAGTATGATTTGAAGCACATAATACATACGGTGAAGTAGGCGTTATACTAATCATCGTTAAACGTTGTGATACACTTGTTTCATTAGGTTGGTTAGTGTGTCTTTCGTCATGCTTGGAGTGAAAAAGTCGACGATGCTTCTTCTGAATCTGTAATTAATTAAAATGTTAAAGTAACCAAAAAACTCTCACTAATGTAAGAAGCTAACAACTTTTTTCTTATTAGAAACACATAATTGCCAGTATCTAATTGAAATAAACACTTTATGTTTAAAATACTTACTTCTCTATGAGTTTCAATAAAACCTTGTGTCATTTCACCAAATCTCGACTTAAATTCTTCCATGCAATTTTTGAAAATTGACCACTCAAGTGGGTACCGCTCTAAAATTTTAAAGAAGGCCGATCTGTTTATAAATAGGACCTATAAAAAGTTCGTCTTTTAAATTACACCATTAGCATCTTTTTAAAAATTAAAACTGTATAGTGAACAAACACTTTTTCTAAAAACTTGACAAATTGAAATTGATATTCATGCTATTCTTAGGATTCAAGAATTTATTCTAAACATCCTACAGAGGATATAAAAATAAATACAAATTAACCATACATTTTGGAAGTAACTTTTTGCTTAAACTAGACATTTTAGAACGCATGACATTCAGATTTCGGGTTTAGGTAATTATCAAAAGTTACTCGGTTTAGTAATAAAATAATTTCAAATACCTCACATTCAGTATATGCCATGTAAGTTCTAAACGGTGGTTTATTAAAAAAGACCGAAGGGAAGGCAAGCAAGTCGCCCGGCTTGTACATACTTCTGACTAATTCACCTTCATTGTTATATTCACTTTTAATGTAACCCTGATTAAAAATAAAATTATTTAAAAATAAAAGACTTTATTGATCACACCAGTTGCACAATAATCTTCAGGGCTCTGCTTCCTGAGCTAGGTACCTGTATTACAAGAGGCAGGTCCTTCTCTTTTGTCCATAATTATTTATTGTGTTATGTGTGTGTGTGTGTTTGAGGTTGGTATATCATATATGATTGGGCGTTAAGACATCTTGGAGTTAAGAGTTTTTATGCTTTAAAAAGAAAGAATACAATAGAAAGTATAACTAGAAAACTAACATCTTAAACTTACTTGAACAAGCCACGTTACATTTTTCGGTTGCAGACCAAAAATAATAACAGTAGATAGTTTTGGAAGCAAGATAAACTTAGCGTTGTAAGCAAGTTCCCTGATAAGACCATTATCGGCCATTTGAAAAGGCAGGGACTGCCTTATTATTTTCTCTGCTACTTCCCCGTGTACTTTCCAGTATATGTCGTATGGTTCATTTTTTAATATATTTGGATATAAAACATCCATTCCTTTATAATATTTCCAATGGCATTTCATATACCGATTCAAACGTCTCAATAATTCCGGGTGTATTTTAAATTGCTTATAATTATTCGTGACATTGATCACGAAGAATTGATACTTGGATACTCCTGTATTGTATGCATGGAATATACCAATCAAAGATGTTTTACAATAGATAAAGATTAAAAATCCACAATAAATAGTTACAGTTGACACGTAAACATCTGTTAAGTTTTGTGTTGTGTTATGGGAAAAAAGAAATTCCAAAACCCATGCTAGAAATATTTCGAACACATGACGAACTTCGTAAATACATTTGTTTTTAGGTACTCCCCAATCACAAAATACATCACCATAGAAATTAACAAGACTCAAATCGGGAATTATAGTTATCAATGCAAGCGTTAAGTAGCTCATTATGTACACAAAAATTAAGTGAATTAAACAAACTTTAAGAATTACGTGAATCAATGGATCTTTTCCAAAACTCCAGTTAGGAAAGAGGACGTATATTTTTAACAGTCGATTAAACTGCACCGTGTAATAGTATTGAGGCATCCCGATCAGCATCACGTAAGTCTCGAACCAAGTGGCTGACAAAATATCAATGAAAAACCAGACGCTTTTAAAGCGAGCAAACATCACAGATGCGAAGTAAACTCTACCCGTTTCCTGATTTTCCATTGTTGTTATTAACGACACGCATACATCAGCCAAATAAACTATATCAACCCAAAATTGAAAGAAATTAAACCAAACCGGAACATCCGGCCTTGTAATATTAGGCGGATAGAATATAAGAACGAGGAAAACCGTAGCGACAACAATTCTGTTCCATACAACACTAAAACTAGAATTAGGAAGTAGAAGTATCGGAAAACGAACGCTTGCGAACAAAGAGTGCTTCCTCAATTCTCCATCTGTGCACAAAACTAATTGACCAAGATATTTCGGGCAATGGTAGACTACTTCTTCCGCTGATAATTTTAAAGAAGGTTTAGAGTGCTGATCTTCTGGCAAGTTGAAATGCGATACAACCTCCGATATCTCCCACCATCGTTTTTTTAGCCAAGCAATACCTTCATCTTCAGCCCTATCCAATCCTCTTACGTGCTTTTTACACGAATAAAGCGTATGAGCGTGCTTTATTTTATCCTTCACGCGTTGTAATATTGCTTTCCTGTCTACTGGGAACTTGTGCAGAGCTTTCAGAATATCCGCTCGGGGTAAATAATATACTTCACAGTACGTAAGACATCGCACCATAACAATTCGCTTTGCAGGTGACAAGAAGAAACTTATGTCTCCTATAATAGTACCGCTCGTGAATGAAATTATAGGAGTGATACCATCGTCCGTTGAAATCAGTTGAACTATACCAGTCTTTATGTAATACAAGTGTGATTGACAGTGAGGACCGACAAAAAACCTTGACCCTGGTAATTTGTAATCTAAATGTATGAAATCACATAACCACTTCTGGAATGCTCGAGATGTTCTTCTCAAAGTTGGACTATGGTAAAACACAGCCCAAACGAGATCCTGTTTGATTTCCACTCTCAAATATCGAGGTAATTCCGACATTATATTAGGAAGTCGGGTTATACCATCGTGTTTCTTCCACATTAGCGCGTAAAAATTTTTCACATCAATGTACGCTTTTGGAGATGGATTCCTTCGTTTTGCCTCGCCTATTATAATTTGTACTCGTGGGTGAAACGAAAAGATACAATGTAACTTTAATAAAGATTCAGCAATCATTTTTGGAAATATGACAAAAGTTGAGATGAGGTAGAAAAATATCATTAATGCACTGAAGAAGGCATATTCCACTAAAGTAGAGGCTTTAATTTCATCGAACATATAATTTACGGGAAAGAAGAAAATAAACGAAGCTCCGTAAACATAAGTTGTTAACGTTTCATCCGTTTCGTTGAGCTGGAATGAAAAAAAAAACATTAAAAAATAAAATGAAACCGCAACCATGTTCCTGCTGTTCTACTAAAAAGTTAAGGAACCAAATATTAAGGCTTTTACATCTATACTAATATGATGAAGAGGAATTTATGTGCATTGAAATAACTCAAAACTGGACAGATTTCAAAAATTCTTGCACTATTAAAACGCTCTATTGTCACTGAGTAACATAGGCTATTTTATACAGTAAAGCAAGTACCTTATACATGATATATTTCCTCCAATCTTTGTAATAGCCCGTACTAGTACATGTATCACAGAGCCCTACATATGTCATCAACATTAACACACACGTGATACAATTGACCGTAATAATATTCATAATCGTATAACCGACACAGAGTTTAATATTATCATGTGTGGTTAGCAGAGAAAAATATTCTGCCACTCTATAGATTCTGAAATAAGAAACAACGTATAAGAACACTCAGTCTAGTACTGAGTACATTAGTAAGGCGAGGTGAAACGACCGTCCAGGGCGCCGGACATAAAGAGACGTCACAGGTAACGTAAAGGGCGTATCTTCTTTTGTTTAGATTTATATTGCAGTTACGGGCGAAATAGAAAGCTCGCCCAGGTTGGTGTCAAATGGCCCTGATAGTACTAACTTACACAGGTATCTAATAATATGTTCTACATTTTCTATATAGTTTGAACTATTATTGTTCTATTTTTTGTTACATAATAAAATATTATTACAAGGATATTAAACTGAATCATATAACTACTGTCAAATATAAAGAACCCATGGTGTCTGCCTTATTTCCTTTTAAATCATACTCTACATAACTAAGCTCTCGAATTAATTTACTACTATAATTTAATTTAAAACTACTCACGTTATAAACTCAATGAAAGACAACATATTCGGCCAGTATTCAACCTCTGTACAAACAACATTGCTCATGAGGTGAAAGAATGGTATTATGCACAATAAATCAATTAAAAGTAAAAAAGCTGATTTAGGCAAAAACTCTCGTCTCATTGCCTCATCCGTAACTTGCCTAAAATAGAAACAAAACCATAGCAACTTGAGTAAGTTTTGTCAAGTACTAGCTGTTCCCGTGCGGCTTCATCCGCATGAAATTATAAAATTTTTGTTTTATTGTTAACATTTGTCAAATTATTAATATCAAATGTCAAAATGACATGACATGACAAACCTTGGCAATCTTGCTTCTTTGATGTTGGCAACAACTTATGGTCTCTTTCCCACATTAGTGTTTTTATCCAAAAGATTTACCCCCTAAGTTTAATGGCGTGAAAATATATAGCCTAAATTGTGACGTAAGCGTAGGGCTTTTTAATAAAAAAGAATTATTTAAAAATATGCTGTAATTGCTGACATTTTAGGCAACAAAGAAGTGTGTGTTTACGCTTTTTTATAATAGTATAGAAAAGATGTAGTGATGGGTGCCACAGGTAAAAGACATTAGGGATTTTTTTAAGAAATATTAGTTTGTTTTTTGTAAGACTAAGGATAAGCAATTTCATACCTTACCTATGCATTATATGCAGACAAGTATCAATGCCGTAGATGACGTCAGAGCAATACATATAAAAATACTTTAATAAAAATAAATATATATTATAATCGAGGACATCCGAACAATAGATAATAGGGTAAACTGCTTGTAGAGGACCCTACAACAGATAGACCATTATTTTTTTTAATAATAAAATATTAGATTTTCGTAACTTTACTAATATTTCCTTAGACTTGTGCTATAGTTCAAGACAGTCGATTGGGGAGATTCCCTGGACTGAAAGAGATCGGTAGTTCGTACCCCATTAGGCTATTGGCGCTTAATTTTCATCTGCGAAGAACTTGATTTACAAATCGCAAATAAACCATATAAATATACTTACAAACGTGCTTTTCGCAATCACAGATAACAGAACAAGGAATTTGAAAACAGGATGAAATGGTAGAAAGATCAGATTACTCCAGTTTATGGAAGATTCTCCTGAAGGTTCATCCTCATAGTCATCATCATCATAAGTAGAGAAATGTGTCACTGATTTCGATGATGTGCTCCCAGCTTTATACATGGTATTTAATAGTTACAGGTTTAAATTTTTAAATAACCAGATGAGTTGCTATGAGTTTTGTCAAATTTTGACATATTAATGACAGAAATGGAGCGGTGACAAGTGGACAGTAACAATATAAAGATTTTTTTATAATATAAGATGGCATACGAGCAAGCGGCCACCTCAATCCACCGAAATGGGAAGCGAACGGTACCCATAAACATCCGCAATTGCAGAGGCGTTGCCTATCCTTAATTGACGGAGGAGGAGGGGCACATAAAGAAGACATTTCCCCTTCCTATGCGTCTCCTCCACCGTCAAATCCACTTTTCCTTCCCATCCTTTCCTCTTAAGAAAAGGGTGGAAAGCGAAAGGGGCTAAAATTAGGCCTCCGCCACTACACTCATCAAACGAAATGCGGAATTACTTCCACTTCACGCCTGTTTTCTGTGTGGTCGTGGTATTTGCTGGGGGCGAGCCTGCCTATTCGTGCGAAGATGTTAAAGCGGGCTCTACCACTGTTTAGTCTTTTAAGCCGTATTAGACCTCATTTGTCGCCAAAATCTGAGCAGAAAAGTGAAGCAACAATGCGCACACGCATGATACCTTACAAGTACTACACATATATGACTAGTTATAGGTATTTAAAAACAAATATAGTTTAATCAATTAGGAAAACGTTTTATTTAAAAGTACAAAAAACATTAATTTCAGGGCGTAATGCTAACATAAAACAAAACCTAAGTTTTGCGTATTATTATATTAAGGTGTTAAAATTGATTAGTAGTTACAATATTATTTGTGAATTAATGAAAATAAAAAAATAACAATCAATTAAAATATAAGGTAGTAGGTTACATTTAAGTTAACACAACAATATTAATACCTATTCCCGGCATTCGGATTGGCACTTCAGGATTAATACTACTCTATTACCCGATGTGCCAACTGCAACTCTATGTACAGTCGGGAAAACTGGCAGTTGGCAGTTTTCTACCTGAAACGAAACGCGGAACTAAAACCAATATACCGCAACTTATAAATAGGTCTGTATGAAATAATCACGGCTAGTTATTTTTAGAAACCTTCGTTTGCATCATTCACTGGTGTTTAAATAGTTATTTTTAGGATGAGGCGAAAATTGTTTTGTTGCAATAAACAAGGAAAAGTCTAAAGTGGAACAGGCAAATCCGCGACTGTACCATAGCAGTTAAACAGTTAAACAGTTACATAGGTAAACAGTTACAAAGTTACAGTTACACAGTTACAGTTACACAGTTAAACAGTTACACAGTTAAACATTTAAACAGTTACACAGTTACACAGTTACACAGTTAAACAGTTAAACAGTTGTTTAACTGTTAATGGTACAGTCGCGGTCCACTTTAGAATATGCCTTGTGTGATGCAAACAAAGGTATTTAAAAAAAAACTAAACCAACATTTTTTCGTATTTATTGTGTGTACTCTTTCGCCAGTTTGGCGACGTGGTGTTGTGCGACAGCGGCGCGGCGCGGCAGCGAGGCAATGTCGTCGCCCGTGGCCGCGCGCACGCTGTACGCTTGTAGCCGACATGAGCCCGACAACATGCGACCTACCACTCTGTACGAGTACAGAAATCATACTAATATAAAAATGCGAAAGTTTAGATGGATGGATGGATGGATAGATGGATGTTTGTTACAGTTTGTAGCCTAAACGGCTAAACAGATTTCGTTGAAATTTGGTATAGATGTAGAAGATAGTCTGGAAGAACGCATAGGCAAAAAAAAAACAAAAGTGAGTTTTTTTTTTATAATATAAGGTGGCAAACGAGCAAGCGGCCACCTAAAGCCACCGAAATGGACAGCGACCGCTGCCCATAAACATCCGCAATTGCAGATGCGTTGCCTACCCTTCATTGACGGAAGAGGAGAGGCACATAAAGAGGAAATTTTCCCTTTCTATACGTCTCCTCCACCGTCAAATCCACTTTTCCTTCCCATCCTTTCCTCTCAAGAAAAGGGTGGAAAGGGATGAAATTAGGCCTCCGGCACCACACTCATCAGACGAAATGCGGAATTGCTTCCACTTCACGCCTGTTTTCTGTGTGGTCGTGGTATTACACCGGGCGAGCCGGCCCATTCGTGCGAAGATGTTAAAGCGGGCTCTACAACTGTTACTGAGTACTTTTGTTCCACGAGGATGGAGTCGCGGGTGAAAGCTATTAATATTAAAATGTGAAAGTTTAGATGGATGAAAAGAAAGATGGATGTTTGTTAGAGTTTGTAGCTTAAACTGCTGAAGGCATCTCGATTAAATATGATATTGATGTAGAGGTTAGTCTGGAAGAACACATGGGCTACTTGCTTTTTTTTCATTCCACGCAGACTGATTCGCGGATGAAAATACAAAAGTTTAAATGGATCTCTGTTAGAGTTTATAGCCTAAACTACTGAACAGTTTACGATAAAACTTTAGCACAGTATATTTTTTTAATACACAATATAATTTTCAAATTGTGAAAAAAATCATATTTGAATGTATTAGCTCTAACGGAGAAAAACTCTATTACGAAATATCTATCAGGCAAACTTACCTAACAGTACAAGGTATTGTAAATTCGGGCAATAGAAAATCTATCTCGTAATATACAACTTCCATCGCTGGTCCAATTTCATCTTTAATCACTAAAATCTTCTCATAAGGTTTACCTTGTCTTATTCTTAAACATTTCGCTGAAAAACATACAAAAAAACACTTAATTTTCTCGAAGTTGCCTGAAACATCTATATCTATACTATAATAAGATTATAAAGAGGAAAGATTTGAATGTTTGTATATATTGGATGAACTCAAAAACTACTGAGCTGATGAAAAATTCTTTCACCATTAAAATTCTATGTTATCACTGAGTAACATAGGCTAACTATAACATTTTATTACATTTTTAATTTCACCCGGGTGAAGTCGCTAGAAACAGCGAGTTACATATAATTTATTCAAAATAGCTCGAAGTGTATATAATTATATCTACACTAATATTATAAAGTACTGTGTGTATTGAAATAACTCAAAAATTTTACCATTAAAAAACTAGGCTACATTTTTTTTATTTAGTTCCACGCGAAGGTCGAGAGCACTAGCTACATAAAACTTGCGTATAAAATTATTGTCAGTAGTAACTAACCAACAATTTCATAAAGTACCAAAACTCCTATTTCCTTTAGAAGCTTGTGCCATTTGAGCACTTTCTCCACAGGCCCGGAAAATGCTCGCGGTCCGCTTTTATACAACGCCTGAACAAATTGTACATTGTAAATACACGTGTATGTTCTGTTCTACATCAAAGGCTATACAAATTAAAGAAAATGAAAGGCTTCCTATTGCCAAAAATAATACTTGTTGGTTTCATTTTATACTTTCACGCTACCTTACTAATGTTATAAATGCGAAAGTTTAGATTGGATGGATGTTTGTTAGAGTTTGTAGCCTAAACAGCTCTACGGGTTTCGATGATTGGTATAGATGTAGAGGATAGTCTGCAAGAACACATAGACTAATTGCTTTTGTTTTTTTTTTTGTTAAATTCAATGCAGACGGAGTCGGTAGTGAAAGCTAATATAGAACAAAAGATTAATAAGTATTTAATAGTAACTACAACAATGGCTTAGATGTAGTTTCTAGAAAAGATGTTACAATCTTTGACATATGGAAAACATTTTTTTATGTAAAAGAACGTACTTGAAGCTTATCAGAACGTATTTTTCGTTGATTTTGTGCTTCATTCTTCGCTATAATAGTTTCTATAGGCTTGCTCGTTACTTCTGAAAATGAAACCTAACACCCTTGTAATACATTTTAAGCAAACGATTAAAGTACTATTTATTTTTTAAAATTAAAATGCATAAAAAACAGTAAACTCGCAAGCTACAGTTTACAGATTTTGTATTAGACATGGAATTTTTTTAATCATGAAACCACACGAAATCATTTATTTCAAAATTACCTTTTAATGGCATAACTACGTTTTCTGCACTAGATTCTTCGGTTATCGTAGACGTTGAGGCTCTAGAAGAATTTGACTGCTTTGATTGATAAATTAGCGTTTGAGATTTTCCTAAAATATATTACTGGTTCATACAAAAGTAGAAGCAACGAAATAACAATAATAAAGGAAACTAAGACGAAATAAAAAATTGTACATAATAGCATTTTTAATTTAATTCTACGATTAAACTCCAAATTCCTTATAAATAACATCTATCACATTGTAAGCTGCGCTTACGAAGAGAGATATTTGATATTCGTTTTAACATTTGGCCGAAAAATTGTCTATCAAAATAATACAAACCTTTCGGTGTTAAAAGCGATTCATTGGAATACTTCTTTACAGGTTTAATAGCACCGACAACATTTTTATTCATATAATTACTATAAACTACTGCATCTGATGTTTCTGGGATAATATTTTGATAATTCTGAGCTTGATAGCGTTGTTGACCTTGAAAATCTTGCTGCATGCATTCTTGAAGATCCCTTTGCATTGGGATTAGATATTGGCCCTGGTTTTGTTGTCCTTGATAGGGAAAATTTGTGTATATTTATCTTGTTGGATTTAAGATGAAATTCATTTCGAAACTGTTTTACGGTTCGTCATAAATTTTATTGGATACCGAAAAACATACAAAAATACGTTTTTCACTCATTTTTTAAATTTAAACCGAGACAGTCTTACTAATCTTACTAATATTATAAATGAGAAAGTTTAGATTAATGGATGGATGGATAGATGTTTGTTAGAGTTTGTATCCGTAAACGTAAACGGCTCGATAAAATTTGACATAGACGTAAATGATAGTCTAGAAGAACACATAGGCTACTCACATTTGGTTTTTTTAATGCTACCCGGACGGAGTTGCGGGCGAAAGCTAGTAATATAGATACGAAAGTTAAGATAGACGGATGTTTCTTAGGTTTTGTAGCCTAAACTGCTGAACTGATCTCGATGAAATTTAGCACAACATTAAAACATAGTCTGGAAGAACACCTAGACTACTTAATATTTTTATCTAATACGACGCTAATGGATTTGCAATGGTAAGTAGGTAATATATTATTTAAGCACTAGGTAGATTTTTATTTCGCGCAAAATAATTGAATAAAAGAACGTAATATAAAATAGAAAGGCGACAATATCAAATCAAGCTATTCTCACTTTATTAGAGCACTTTAAAGATAGAATTTTAAAATCTATTGCACATTTTATTTCAAAATCAATGGACGCAAAAATAGTTATTATAAAACAAATTGTAACGTTAAAAAGAAATGAGATTTTATTTCAAACTAGCTGTTGACCGCGACTTCGTCCGTGTGGATTTTAAAAGTTCAAAACAGGACAAATTAGAATGAAACCTAAAACACGTACACCTTCTTTCTTAGTACGTATTTACTTAGTAGTATACGTAGTAACAGAAATATCTATGCAATCTATCCAATTTCTAAGTCCAGTAGTTTGTGAGCAGATTTTTTTAGGTACGTTTGTGTTTGTTTTTGTTTGTGTTCGCGATATCTTCTAAAGTATTTGACGAATTTACATGCTATGAAAGACAATTTTAATCTACATAAAATTCTTCTAACAAACACATTCATTTGGATAAGAATTAATATTAAAACGAATTAAACATTACCGCAAAAAGGTTGCGGTTTTTAAGTGCATTTACTAAACATAAAAGTTTCTAAACAAATGATCCATCCACTAGCATCCTCTTGCATTCACATTTAAATCACACACAACTAACAGGATCTCCCTAAAATCACCTGCATCCACCAGCTCTTACTATCAATCACCCGCATCCACTAGCTCTTACCCTCAATCACCCGCATCCACCAGCTCTTACCCTCAATCACCCGCATCCACCAGCATCTTCTTGTACTCACATTTAAATCACACACAACTACCAGAAACCACCTTATAGGAATAGGATCTCCCTAAAATCACCTGCATCCATCAGCTCTTACCCTCAATCACCCGCATCGAACTGATTCCACTTGCATTCACGTGCAAATCAGATACAACTACCAGAAACCAACTTAAATGAACACTATATCCCTAAAACCACCTGCATCCACCAGCGCTTACCCTCAATCACCCGCATCCACCAGCACCCACTTGCACTCTCATTAAATCAAACACAACTCCCAGAAATCATTTTAAACGAATAGGATCTCCCTAAAATCACCTGCATCCACCAGCTCTTACCCTCGATCACCCGTATCGAACTGCTTCCACTTGCATTCAAGTAATAAGAATTAAGAAGTAATGAGGTAAGAAGTAATAAGTAAGAAGTAAGAACTAATAAGTAAGATTAGTAAGATATAGTCGGTCTTGCTAATATTATATTGTAAATGCGAATATTTAGATGGATGGATATTTGTTAGAGTTTGCTGCCTAAACGGCTGAATAGCTAAAGTCTGGAAGAACACATAGGCTACTTACTTCTGTTTTTTGTTTTTTTTTTTTTTTTTAATACTACCCGGACGGAGTCGCGGGCGGAAGCTAATGTAGCATTTGCTATATTTAATTTAATCGTTAATTACTGTGTCATGTTTCTTTTATTAAAATTAAACGTAAATTAGTACCTGCTACATAATTGCTGCTTCCAGCATACGTTCCTAAATACTGAGGATCGATGCCAGACTGAATTGGTCCAGGATTTTGTACTATCTACATAGACGATATGCAAGAAAAATTTATTTTTAAAACACACAAAACAAAATGATTAAGCAAACAACAAAGTTAATCCCTTGTTCTTAAAACAATACCTCAGCTTCAGCCACAAACTCAACGTCCCTTTGACGTTGAAGTAACCTTAATTAAAATGTTAGGGAGTTTTCGTGGCTTTGCTGAGATGGAAAAAGAATTTAAAAAAGAAGCCTTGGTGAGTTTAAAACAAGGTAATTACGTTTTTTTGAAACTTTTTGTCCAAGAGCTACGACTCGAGTGTTTCGTATGAATTTTATATTTTCATTTCACAATAATTAGAATGGAATTGTGAGTATGTAGAAATGTGAAGTCAATTTTAAAAGGCAGACTAAAAGTGAATTTTATGGCAATATTAATAAAAACAATACTTACCAAAGTACAAAAATTTGAACTACTAACAATATTAACTAAATAAGCTTAGATTTATAAATTATCCATAAGCATCTATACTATTATAATAAAGCGTAAACACACACTTCTTTGTTGCCTAAGATGTCAGCAATTACAGCATATTTTTGAATAATTCTTTGTTTAATAAAAAGCCCTACACGCTTTATACTACATATTTCCACGCTATTAAACTTAGGGGTAAATATTTTGGATAAAAACCCTAATGTGGGAAAGAGACCATAAGTTGCTGCCAACACCAAGAAAGTAAGATTGCCAAGGTTTGTAATGTCAATGTCATTTTGTCATTTGCTATTGATAATTTCACAAATGTAAACAAAAAAATAAAATTTTCATAATTTCATGCGGATGAACCCGCAAGGTACGGTCGGTTTACCCGACGAGTAAGAGTAAGCTACTTACTGACATTTCTACTTTTAAAAAATATCTACGAAAATAATTTTCCAAACCGTAATCGAAGCTTGTCCCACGTTAAATACCCTAAACAATAACATTTCGTCATGATAAAAAATTTAAACTTTACATAGAACTAGAAATATACTTACAATACCCTGGTTATTTATGCGTTGTGCGTTTGGTAAAACAGGCTCGAAAGTGGCGTAATATGGGTTTTCAGTTCTGAAAATTATGGACACAAATTAAATCGAAATCGGTTCATATGATGTACGATATTCACGTAAATTAAAACGCTTCTTAACTCTTGATTTAATAAACAAAAGACAACTTACAATGTTATATTATTGCCATCCCTACTTGTTGATGGCATTGCGATCATCTGATTCGGCTGTGGATTTCCTTAAAAAATGGAGAATCCAAAAAATAAATTAGGTAACTGAGCAGTAAATGTTTCTTTAACATAAACGTTTAATAAATATTACCAAGCCTCGGTTCCCTTCTCACGTATCGATCCATTGAGTTATAAAGAAACTCAGTGAAATATCGTTTTATTAAATTAGTTTTCTTGTAAACACAATGTATCCAATAACTTTTCAACAATTAAAAAATTTCATAAAGTTTGAAAAAACCGGTTACAATTCCCGCTTTCTGTGTTACTTTTTTAAAACCTTATCTGGACAAACCATAACGTGTTTTCGGCCTACGGCCTAACTGACATTTTAATGACACTGAAGTTTACATTTATTTTTAGGATTAATTAAAATATTTTGAAATGTTTGTCAATAATTATTTAATTAAGAATTTAATTTTTTCATGACTATATTATGTTTTTCTTCAACAGTTTTTAGGCATATTATGTCAAGCAATGCCAGCGAAAGTCAATGTCATTTTGACATTTACAGTGACAGTCGACAAATCAAAATTACTAATATTTGGGCGTACAGCTTAAAGAATTTTGTTAAAAAGTGTCCTTTAAATCAAAAATGGAGCTCCAAGATATATATTACAACAAATCGGAATACGTTGAAACTGTTAGCAAATCTATTAAGCTTTGTAATTTCAGTTCAAATATCTCCATAAAGGTTTATCTTATTGTTTTCAGGCATCTGGGAATAAAGTAAGTCGGCAAACAGTTCTCTGCGGATCTCAGAATATTGTATTGCATGGTAAAGTTATTGTACAGAGTGATGCCATTATAAGAGGTGATCTAGCAAATGTTAAAACTGGCAGGTTTTGTATTATAAGTAAAGGCTCTGTCATACGTCCACCGTTCAAGAAATTTAGCAAAGGGTATGTAATTTCTTAGTATAACTTATAATCATGTTTGAATAGTTTCTATCTCACCCATATAAAGGTAATGTAATTTATATTCTCTGTTACAGAGTGGCATTCTTCCCACTTCAAATGGGTGACCATGTATTTGTTGGTGAAAATACAGTTGTAAATGCAGCAGTTGTTGGCTCTTACGTGTATATTGGAAAAAATGTAGTCATAGTAAGTACAGCAAACAAATTTCTTTTTAATAATAAAGGGTGACAAGGAGCAAGCGGCCACTTGATATCACCAAGAAAGTGAAGGAACCGCTGCTGATAAATATATTTTCAATCATCAAACATAAATATGATAAGTTGATAAGTAATTAACTCTTGAAAAATGATATTAACTGAAATTATTCTATAGGGTCGCAGATGTGTACTGAAAGACTGCTGTATGATTGAGGACAACTCGGTGTTGCCAGCAGAAACTGTTGTACCTTCATTTGCTAGATATTCCGGGAGTCCTGCAAGACATATAACCACTCTACCAGAAGCAACACCCGATCTTATGACAGAGTTTACAAAGAGTTATTACCAGCATTTTGTTCCAATAACAGCCAATGCATAAGTGTGGTTGATATAGTTAAGAAGCAAAAAATATTTGTTTATTGATAAGAAAAGTATTCCATGATTATTGCTTTATTGAATTGTTTTAATATTCCACTAATTTTGTACTGAAAGTAAGCTGATTAAATAATTTATTTACTGGACTTATTTTTTTGTTTTACAATAAAAACCTGTATTTGTACAATGTAATTGAAGTAAACATTTGTGAAGTTTTGAAGTTCAGATAGTGATAAAATGTATATGATCATCCATAAATGCTTACTTGGGGTCAACCATTTAGTGAGATCTAAATTTTCCTTACATGTTTATAGCTATTTTTGCAAGTGATAAAAACAAAATGACAGTAACGGCGTATTTTTATGTATGTAGATTTTGTTCGCAACGAATTGTCGTGACGTAGAAGCAAGCGAAGTTCTCCAAGAAAAATGTCTCCATCCCGTCAAAAATAAATGTAAAATAAGTTATAAAAATAACTTGTAATTTACAAAAACATTTTCGACAACATTCCCTGCAGTTATTTATTTTGTTTGGGCAACCCTAAATTGACACGTAAATGACGCAAACTGATGTTTTGACATATTTTAAGATTTTAATGTCATTCATGAAATCTACATAAAACTTTGCCTTTTATTAAATTTTTTAACAGCTAAAAAATAAAAATAAAAGGTCCCTGATATGGTAGGAAAATAAACAGTGTTGCAAATCGTCCCGCGTAATAATTCTCAATCATGGAATATCATTATTCGGAACATTGTTTGCAATCGGAACATCTATTGACTGGTCAGTATACAATCAAAATGTATAGCAGAGATTCTGCAATAATTTCGCCGGTCATATTAGTATCGATTTTGTTTATATACGCAAATAAAAATCAAGAACTTTTTAATATTTGCTTAATGATTTTGATGCCCAGATGACTATGGGAGTGACTATTCACCACAATTCCTGGTACCAACAAAGGAAGGAGAATATGAGGTGCGGAGTAGTGTATTGGTGGATGGCGGGGAAAGATTTGGAGTATCCGCTGTCGTTTTTGATAAACATGAAGAATTAATATGGATGGGAAACCAAGGCGTAAGTAACACAGTACTTTAAAAAACACATAATTATGGTGTTTAGAAAATAATGATTGTTTTTTGCAAATAATATTTAATTTTAGCTTTATTCTACAAAACAATCCTGTTTTAAATGTTTAATTTTTTTCTTTCTATATAAATACTATCTCCTTGTCGTTACAGCAATAAATTTTAACAGGAATCAATATTTAATTCTAGTTTCTTAATATTTTGCTTTCCTTAGGGTCATGTTACATCATATTATGGTCCGAGTATGCAGAAATATACATCTTTCCAAATTCACGAGTCAGAAGAAGTGAGGGACATAGTGACAGATGAAAGAGGAATTTATGCATTGACAAAAACAATTCTCCGTCATCAGATGCGTAGAGGAATACCGAAGCATACATTCCGGTACACATTTAATTACATTAACTTTACCAGTGGAAGTATAATGTGAAAGCATTTGTATTTTTTATACTATTATAAATTATAGACATATAACTGCGGCTCATAGTCATCTACTTTTTCAGTGTAACTTGAATCAATAGAAGAGAGTATGCAAAGAATGATTAAGTTGTCCCTACTAATTGGTTTCCTCCCTAGCCAAATATTCCCCCTTCCAGTGCTTTTCTTGTACAAATAGAGGTAGGGGAGATGATTTCCACCGGACTATAGTGTGGCTGTAGTACTTCAAATATTCATCAGCTTTTGCTGATTCTTATTAATATAATTATTTTTCAATTACAGATCAGAAAGTATGAATGACATGCAATGTTTATTACAAGTCAGTCCAACAAAGCTAATGTTGGGAGGTCATCAAAGAAAATTATTAGAGTTGGATGTAACAAAAATGACAGAAACTATTATAGTAAGTTAATTGTATTATAGTTAGCTGCCACAAAAAAATGTTGTATAATAATCATGACAATTCAGTGAGTTTAAGAGACTATTAGATTTTCTCTGAATGTTTTAGCAGTATTGTAGACAAAATATCTAGCTATTAGCAGACATGAAACACTAAGAGTGTGTGCACACTTTGTGACTAAACTATCGCACAACTGTATAGTCGCGCGTTGATTTCTTTGATTATATGGAGGTGCGCACACTATACGATTTTTAGTTGGGCAACTAAACAGTTGAATTGGGTGCAAAATAATTGACAATCGCACAACAGTTGTTGCTATAGTTTACTCAAAGGTGTGTACCTGTTCTAAGGAGAATTTGTATACTGTTATTTTTCATTTGTGTAATTATAAATGACAATAGTATGGCCAATGTGTTCTTCCAGACTATCCTCTACATCTATGCCAAATTTCATCAAGATCCATTCAGCTGTTTAGGCTATAAACTCTAACAAATATCCATCTATCCATCCATCGAAATAATTGCATTTATAATATTAGCAAGATATTTTAGTGTCTTTACAAATATTTTTGTCACTTATAAACAAATAATAAGTGTATTGTTTATTCTAGCCTATAAAAGAAGATGGTTGTGTAGTTATGCGTAATGGAGGCGCTTCTCTACTGGCCTGCGGGAGTGCTAACGGACATATATCACTACGAGATCTTAGGACTCCGAATGCATCGGAACATACATTCAAAGCCCATAATAATTCTCTATCAGATATGGATATGCAGGGAGACCTACTGATATCGTGTGGATTTACACAATCGTACGTATAACTTATAACTGTGGCCCTTGTCTGCTTTTGGTTGAATTAAATAAAAAATGTTTTAATTTATGTGTATTTTTGTGCCAAATTTTGTTAAGATTCGATTCAGCTGTATAGTCTACAAACTAACATCCATCCATCCAAACTTTCGCATTTATAATATTTAGATTTTATGTGTTTCTTGTAAGTAATAGAAGATTTTAGTCTGACGAGTTTCTTAAGTTATTGGCTTGGAGCCTACCCTAGGAATATTACTAGGGTAGGCTCCGAGCCCTTCAGTGGGGATGTATATAGCTGGTGATGATAATAGATTTTCTAGTAATTATGTTTCAGCGCTGGGGGTGTTGCGGTAGCAGAGCCTTATGTAGTAGTGTGGGATCTACGTTGTCTTAAGGGTACATCTTCAGTGGACCGAGCTCGGTCAATACATACAGCAGCCGCTCCAATGTTACTCCATTTCCTGCCCGCGTTCTCTGGCCGTGCGGTGGCACTGTCAGGGGATGGACATATCGCGTTGTTGCATGTTAATGCACCGCAGGAGAAACAGTCTATTTTCCAGGTAGGCTTCCGTTGTGAATATTCTTGATTATTTTTCTATGACAAGATATGCTAAGATTTGGATATAGAAATCAGCTTTATATTGGACTTTAATGCATTTAAAATTGAAATACAAAATAAATTAGAAGAAAAATGAAATCAATTCGTAATTCAATTACTTAACTGCAGTTCAGATTTAAGCTTAAATAAGTGGTCGTTTATTTACACAACTATTAAAAATAAATAGTTTTATATAATTCTGTGCATTAATTTTATTTGTCTCAAAGTTAAAGTTCATCTGTTTGAGCGTTTTTTTTTAAATAATATACTAGCTTTCGCATGCTACTTTGTCCATATAGAATAAAAGTAAACAAGCCAATAGCTTTCTCGACTTTGTTTTACATCTATGCCAAGTTTCATCAATATCTGTCCAGCTTTAGGCTATAAACTATAACAAACATCCAGTCATCTAAATTTTCGCATTTATATTAGTAAGATTAATTTATGTGTGTAGGTGGACACACAGAGTTCTATGAGTGTGATGGACGTATCATCAACTAGCCAGGCTCTAGTGTTCGGTGATCAAGGAGGACATCTCCATCTGTTCTCACCGCGGCAAAACAAAGAACCAGTATTTAATAACTTCTCAAGGTGAGTCCTTAACAGTAAAGTTCTACAATTAAACAAATGTTTTGATGGCTCCTATGTAAAATCATAAGTACAAAATGGAAATTTTGTAAGTTTTAACACACCACATCAAACATTCACAGAATAACTAAGATTTATCACCTTTAAAACGCACAAAACGAGATAAAAACTGCAAAAATGTAAAAACAAATATATTAAATTTAGAAAAAATCAAGAACCTCCTTTTGTGAAGTTGTTTATACTGGAATAATATAAATTAGTTTTAATATTAATGCCTTAAAACAAAACCTTGTTACTAATGTTAGATATTATCAAAAATGACTACCTTTAAAATATAGACAGACGGCCATATTACCAATACTTGTAAATTACTTTAAAACACACAAACTGAACTCCAATGCGACAACGCAAATATATCGAACGTTCCGTTGTGACGACTAGTAAAAGACTGAACTTGTTGGCGACTGAGCGCCGAGACTGCGACTGTGCCCGAGCTACTCCTTGCGACATATTTTATAAAACTACCCCCCACTATTCCTTGCGTTTCCTAATATTTTTCTAACAATATTGTTTTAAATAAAGATAAATGTATTGATAAATAGCACACATTATCAAATAACTTTTAAGAATACAGAATACATCAAAAATAGTTAAAAAGCTAACAACCCGGCCTTCCTGCAAAGAGCGAGTCCCTTCGCTTGAAAATTGGTAATTGTACAATGTACACAACTGCGAAATATATGTACACATAGCAACCATGAAAACATTACTTTAAATCAAATGTACAACACCTCATTTATGTTCTTTCAATAAGTGAGCAGCAAGCTCCAACATCAATCTCCGATACATTTGTTGTTCATTAACACAAATAGAAAATAACAATTAACAAGCAAAATATACACTTGTAATCCCAATATTGTTCTTTAATATCAGGATAATAAAGTAAATCTCTGATACAACTTGTGATAGATTCATGTATTTCATTAGTCATAAATTAAAGTGGTCTACTTTTTTCTCATTATGAACACCATTGATAAACTTCACTGTTCTTTAAACACTCGCTTAAAATAAATTGTGATAGCGCCTTTTTTTTAAAAAAGCTAACACTAATTATTCCTATTATCGATAAAAAAAATGTATTTTTAAATGTTTTTACAATAATTTACAGGGAAACAGAGTTCGCGGATCAATTACCAACTCTGCCGACGGCCAGTTTGAAAGACAAAAAATTCAAGTTTTCTTCAATAAAGTTGCCGACGTTAAACAATGGTAAATGGTGCAATGAATTACCACCAGAATTCTTCAAGAAAGCTTACAGGTGAGATTTATTATAAACTAGCTTGATCCCGCGACTGTATCCATATTAAGGCGTTTATGATAATCTTATTTTATTTTATTATGTAAAAATTATTGCTATATAGCCGAATTATACTTTTATAAAACACCACTAACCGATATTTGACTTTTAAATATAATAACGGATCTCGATGAGATTTGGCACAGATATAGAACATAGTATGCAAGGACACATATGCTATTTATCATTTTGTTTGATTTATTTCAATACATATAAATAATAACAAAAATACAAATGTTTCCTCTTTATAATAGTAGTATAGATATCAATAACTTAGTATGGCGTCTCTGATGTTACTAAATTCTTTAAAACTCTCTGGCAATGAACAATTTTTTTATATATTTTCAGGAAACCAAAACCAATCGATCCTGAATTACTTTCTACAATGAAGATGAAAGGACCCATTGGTTATGCTCCCAATCCTAAGACCACGAGAAGGAATCAGGTCTGTAAGAAAGAGATAGCTATAGGTTTCTTATTCTAACTTTTATATTATAAATTTTATTCTATTTCAGATGCCTTATATAACTGATAATTTGGAGGATTTGAGTAAAGTCAAACAATATGAAAATAAATGCAGCACGTTGCCGATTCCTGAACATTATCAAAAGGTATTTAAATTATATTTGTGAGTTTATTCAAAAACATATGTTATTCCAACCCTTTTTTAATATCATTTCAATGTTCGATCGCTATAAAATAAAAAAGCAAGTATAATAAAAGTATTAATGAAAATTTTAAATGTCTTGTAAAATTGATTTTTACTCTTTGTTTGCAACTTCACTTACTCTTTGACATTTCATTTCATAGATTATATTTAGAAGGACTTCTTTCCAACTTTAATTCATGTTTTCTTCATGTTTGTTTACTCTTTATAATTTATATATTTCTTTATATTATTACAGTTGGATCTTCATTACAATAAACATGGATCGAACGAGGAATTGGAAAGTTACAATAAAACCAAATTACCAGGTCTCGAGGCGACAATTCCTAATTCATATTGCAATCCTATGCTGCAGGTAATATTTTCATATTATAAATGCGAATATTTGCGAAATACATTGTATTGAACGTAAGTTATTAGCGAAATATGACGGAAAACTGCTTTTAAACATTATTTTTATTTATTTTAAGGTCTTGTACTACATTCCACCATTAAAAGCGACGCTTTTGGCGCACACATGCGCTAAAGAATTCTGCCTGAGCTGTGAATTAGGTGAGTATTATAATTTTATTAGTACAAAACACTTGTAATTTTTTTTAAATGAGAATGTTGCCATTAATCATCTAGATCTGTGAAAACTCGTTGGAAAATTGCAATTCCAATGAAAAATTTATATTTAAGTGCTATTTTTTGAACTCTGAGACTGTTTTGCCTAATATTAGACCCGTTATGTTATTGAATACGCAGAACTAATCGGCTCAATAGTTTTTTGAAACTGATCGGCCCAACGGGAAACACTATATTTTAATAAAATTAAAATCCAGACTATTATAGGTAAATAGTGAGTCCCATTATGCAGTTGAATCCAATCAATCGGCCCAATGGGAAAAATCTATTTGACTGATGATGCAGTTCGAACGGTCCAACGGGAAAAAAATTATCATGAATTCCAGGCTTCCTATTCCGTATGTTGGATACTTCTAACGGGGTCGCCTGTCAGGCGAACAACTTCCTGCGCGCTTTCCGCACCGTGCCCGAGGCGGCGGCGCTCGGCCTCATACTCACCGACACCACTGACTCCAGACCTGACCTCATGGCGCTTATACAGGTAAATACGAGTCAAATAGCCAAACAAATTCATATTCCATTTACCATCAATTATCGAAGAGATTCAAAAAGTATGTAGAGGAAGCTTGACACTTCACTCGAAATATTTTTTTTTATAAAAAAGGTGTCACTATATCATATTTAAATGTTTACATTTTTTTCACAATGTTTATTATAATAGTAAAATGTTTTATAACATGTCAATACAAGGACACGAGGTGGCTAAACTTGACAACTAACATCATAGTACCAGTGGTAGTGCCCGCTTTAACATCTTAGCACTGCAAGGCCGGCACGTCAGGTGTAATACCACGACCACACAGAAGACAGGCGTGAAGTGGAAGTAATTCCGTATTTCGTCTGATGAGTGTGGTGCCGGAGGCCTAATTTAAGTCCCTTTCTCTTTACCACCCTTTTCTTATAAGGAGAGGTTGGGAAGAGGAAGTGAATTTGACGGTGGATGAGATGCAAAGGAAAGGGAAATGTCCTCTTTATGTGCGTCTCCTCCTCCGTTGTATAATGGTAGGCAACGCATCTGCAATTGCGGATGTCTATGGGCAGCGGTCGCTTCGCGATTTTGGCGGTTTCAGGTGGCCGCTTGCTCGTTTGCCACCTTATGTTATAAAAAAAGTACCTATTAAAGAAGTTACCGGTGAAAAAATGTAAGCTATGTCTTGTCTATTTCTTAAATGTCTGATTATTATACTGGAAATCACCAAAACTGCTAATTTTCTCATGAATGTAAATTGCTATAAGTTTTAGATTTAATTCTTGTGAAATTTTAATAATAAGTCATCAAAATCCGTATCAAATTATTGTCACTTTTTTATATATCTAACGCTGCACCCCTTTTTAAAAATAAACGCCCGTTTGAATATGCTCTAAGTTTTCTATCCGAAAGTTTTTTACATTTCAGAGTTGGATCCGTTTTATATTGCATCAAATACATTCGGAAATACTAGAAACTCGGAAGAAAGACAAGGAATTGGCTAAACTTAGTAAATCCAGTCCACCTAAAGTGTGTCGTGTGAACGCTGCGAAGATGCAGGCTGTGTTGAACGGCCCATACAAGGAGGCATTCCAGTTCACTAAACTGGAGTTTGTGAGCGCTGTTGATACAAATAAAGAAGATAACGAGGATTCATCGAAACTAACAAAAGAAGGTTTGTGAAATAACCAGATTTAATGTTTCCCGTTGGGCCCATTGGCTCACCAATCAGCGCAATGGGAACAAAAATCATAAGCCCGCTTACCCCAACGGCAAATAACTGACTTTATCATCATCATCATTGTCATTATCAATCTTCTGCCCACTGCTGAACATACTTTATTATATTATTTATAGAAATTTTAGGATTGTAAAGTGTTCTACATGACAATTTAAGCTCAAAATGTAATTATCCAAGGATAATTTAGATTACTACTGGTTTTTCTTTTATAAGAATAATAATAGCGTTATCGCTATTATTTTTAGTACACCAATGTTGTAATATTTCCCTAGATATACAACAAATTGGGTGTTTTCTGTTGGCCGATTCGATAAAATCAATCGGCCCAATGGGAAAATAATTCCTATTGGGCGGATCGTTCTTTTATCTGATTGATATGCAAAATAAAAATTCTCTGTATTAAAAATTATAACAACAAATGTCGTATTTGACATATTTTCCTTATAAATTAACTGACATTCTATTTTATAGCAATTTTTATGTCTAACCAGGTGTATATTTTGAAACAAGTTTTCCGTTTTATTAATTTATTATATTATGTTATTCCAGTTAAGAACGGAATAGAACTAAAACTGAACGAGACGTTCCCCAAGAACGTGTGTGTGGAGCGCGAGGAGTCGGAGATCTCGCAGTTGTTCGCTATCGGCAGGCACCAAATGAACCGCTGCCTTAAGTGTAATAAAGAGGTCTGTGTTTATATTTATACTAGCTTTCGTCTGCGTGGAATGGTAAAAAAAAAACAAAAGTGAGTAGCCCATGTAGTCTTCCAGACTATCCTCTACAACTTATACACCATATTTCACCGAATTTCGGTGAAATGTTGCATAGACATAGATGAAATCTTGGAGGAAACATGGGCAACTCACTTTTGTTTTTTTAATTTCACACGGACGGAGTGGTGGGCAAAAGCTAGTTAGGCTATAAAATATCAAAGGGAATAATTGATTTAAATTTTTGTATGACATTTTTATAACTAATTATTTTACGGCTATTAGTTTTACTGCGGTTGTTTCGCGGTCGTGTCGCGTCTCGCCCTGAAGGGCCCCCGCAGGGTCTGAAACCGGTCGGTGCCGCCCATCGGCGAAACCAGGGGGGATATGGAGGTCATGACCTCATCCCCCCTGAGCTGGTTGGGCAAGAGCTTGTCAAAATATATTTACATATTTTGTCATGCTCTTGACTTGACCACGACTTTGTGACCCCCCCCCCTCCATAAGGCCAAAGCTGGATCCGCTTTTTGTGCCCGCCTCCGAAAAAATAGACGTAAGAGCCGTAAAATAATTAGTTACATCGAAGGGATGATCAAAAATATGACAACGCAAACAGGAGGAGCGCGAGTCAGTGACTCTAGCGTGCCTGCTGCAGTACGGGGAGTGTCGTGCGGGGGGTGCTGGGGGCGCGGGGGGCACGGTGGGCGTGTGCGGGGGGTTCGCGGACCTGGTGCAGGCGTCGCTGTCGGCGCGGCGCAGCACGCCCGCCTGGTGCGACACCTGCTCGCGGTTCACGCCCACCGCCCAGCGAGGACGACTTACAAGGTCAAATAATACTTATTTAAAGATTTTGTATCTACTTTAATTTTTCCAATTTTTATTAATTAAGCATATATTGTCATATATTATTTATTAAAAAACAAAAAGAAGGGTATAACGACTGAAATTGTAGGAGCCGACTGCACGCTGTACTTACAAATTGATAACCGCTTTTACAACTGTTATTGTGTGAATTAAAGAGTGAATCTAAAACCTTTAAAATCAATTAAGCCTTATATAATATATCTTTAATTATTGTGAGTTAACTATTTATTGATTTTAGGTTACCACCGATATTGGCTATCAACTGCGGCGGAGTAACACCTCAGGAAAAAGCATTTTGGTCAAAAGGTGTAACAAAAGATGTAAGTATAACTTCGAAAAGCAACATCTATATGAACTTAGCTTAATACCTAGAGATCATAAAATAACCTAATCGGTGTAATGAGCGGTTTGTAAAATTAATTCTGAAGGCTGATCATATACACCATAACGATTCTCCATTGTAAACGTATGTGGGAAATAATGAAGTAACAATCGCGTAACATTAGAAACTCCATCATTAATTGACCATCTTAATGGATAACTTCATAACACAATTTAATCGAATTGCAAACCTTTACAGATATTAACCAATTGATTTTATAATAACAAAACGCATTCCACCATTCAAGGACAACTGTCTTCTTCTTTTTTTAATCAATACTGGACCCCATCGTTATATCGATAATTTCGCCAACGTCATGGTTGAATAAATAAAGTATAAAAAACAAGATTAAAATTTTGAATAGCAGCTGAAAAAAAAGACAACTGACATCTGTCATTGGATCGTTGACATCTATCATGCGATGCACATTCAGCCAGTATTCAAAATTATTAGTTGCCAGTAACTTTAATAGTTCAAAAAGTATTAATAATTTCGCCTCGTTAACCTTATCTTTCAGGTGGATCCATCTAAAAAGAACGGCACAGCTAAACCGTGTCGTTACGGAGTGAACTGTGCACGCGCCGGCTGCCGCTTCAAACATCCTGATAAGTAAGTTATTTAATTTCCAACTGTTTCTCAATAGTAATAAAGACCATTAATGTGGATCAAAATGGAGGCTTGTTTAAAATATAAGAACTGTAAAACTATTGAAAATTCATCTATACATATTTAAATCCCACAAAAGTAATGTGTGAAAGAGATAGCGTTCTATATTGTCTAAATTTCTCGCTCTAAAAGTCAATTTGTAAAAAAACAATTTACAGGATTGTCTAAAGTAAAATAAAGTGTAAATAATAACACTATCATCTTTAACTTTAAACTCTTCCAAGGAAAGGATGGGAAGAATGGATTGGACAGGGGAGATATCGTATAGGGGCAATATCCCTCCTATGCCTTTAAATGTCTATGAGCAGCGGTCTCTTCGCTATTTCGATGAATTCAAAAGATCCTTTATAGCACTGTGTATTAAAAACATGAATTTGGAAATTAAATTTATAAGATACGTTTTATTCCAGTGGAACTTCACCTCCAACTACACCCAATAAGATTGTGCAGGAATCTAACTGTGTGCTGCCACACCACCTCGTCATCAGACAACAATCGGATGGTGATGTTGCCATCAACGATAAGGTAATCTAACTATACTATTATAATAAAGCGAAAACACACACTTCCTTGTTGCCTATGATGTCAGCAATCACAGCATATTTTTGAATAATTGTCATTTTCATTAAAAGCCCTACACTTACGACACGCTTTAGGCTATATATTTTCACGCCGTTAAACTTAGGGGTAAATATTTTGGATAAAAACCTTAATGTGGGAAAGAGACCGTAAGTTGTTGCCAACATCAAGGAAGCAAGATTGTTATGGTTTGACATTATGTCATTTTGACATTTGCAATTGATAATTGGACAAATGTGAAGAATAAAATGAAAGTATTATAATTATATGTGAATTAAGTCGCATGGGAACAGCTATACTATTATAATAAAAAGAAAACAAAAATTATTTGTAACGAAGAAACTCAAAAACTACTGAACCTTTCGAAATTTCTTTCACCAATAAAAAGCTACGTTATCACTAACATAAGCTAGATTTGTTACTTTTTTAATTCTAAAGAGACGAAGTCGCAAGCAATAGTAAAAGAGGAAATATTTCTATTTTTGTATGTAACGAATTAACTAAAAAACTACTTAACTGATTTCAAAAATTTGTTCATCATTAGAAAGCTATATTATCACTGAGTGATATAGACTGTATTTATTGCTAGACTTGCTGTCGCACACGACTCAACGCTGAATTAAAAAAATCAGTAATAAGTAGACAATGCGTCTTAGACTAAATTCGTAAGTAAATAGTGTGTCAAATATTAGAGAGATCCGTTTAAACGTTTAGGAGATACTTACTAACATCCATCCATCCATCCATCCATCCATCCATCCATTAATCTTAACTTTCACATTTATGGTATTAATCAGATTAACTTTAGAACACAATTTGAAAAATTCATATTCTACTATGTTGTATTATTTTGTTTTTTTTTTGTATTTGTTTCTTCTAGAAGGAATTAAGTCTAGAACTAAACAAGCAGAAGAAATTAAAGGGTCGTTCAGAGGAGGAGTACACGCTGTCGGCGGCGGTCGTGTGCGTCGACGACAACCCCAAGAACTTGGTCGCGTACATACAAGTCGGCAAAGATAATGATCCTAAATGGTATCTTTTTAACGATTTAAGGTAATTGTTTTATTTTTTACACACATTCCTATACGTAAATCGTGTCTTTATTGGTTTAACATCTATTTCCTAGTAGATTTTGTCAAATTACAGGTGCTTATTGTTACATTTTTGTAGTCTTTAATCTTATGGTCATTTTTACCAACTATCCCTTAAATGTAATAGTGATTTTAGCATTTATGCAGTCTTTAGTAAGAATTTTGTTTTCACCCACGTTTAAGGTGTCAGTTTTTCTTTACATAGATAAGAGTCTACTTAAATGTTCAAGGAGACTTACCGGACACTTACCGGACGAATACTGAAACGAATCTCAAACTCTTAACTTCGTTAACGAATAGTTTAAATCGCTTATAATCCGACGTCAAAATTTGAATGGAATTTAGAGTTGACATGTGTATTTACATTACATGTAAATATTTCACTCCGTCCGTTAGACCGTTTTTTTACAATAGATTTTTGTTAATCTACTAATATTTCCTTTAACCATTCCAACTAAGCTCTAGGCTAGGATATTCAAGACAGTCGAATATCGGCATTCGAACCCTAGACCGCAAGATTAGCAGTACCCCAAACCATTAGGCGTAGTGCTTAATTACGTAATACCTTCCAGCATCGTCCCCGTAAGCGCCGACGAGGTGGTAGAGTACAACGCATGGTGGAAGTCTCCCTGCGTGCTGCTGTACACGGCGGCGCGCGCCCGCAACCGCGCGCCCTCGCCCGCGCCCGCAGGACACCCGCCCGCAGACAACCACGCTCCCTAGCGCCGGAACTCACTCTAAAGGCGTTTATGGTCCCCATAGCGCCCGCAGAGTGATATTTTAATTAGGATAGCGCCCGTATGCGAGAGAATTCACTTAGTCGTTAAGGCTCGCATACGACAGAATTAATTTAGTCGTAAGGGCTCGCCTGCGAGAGAATTCACTTAGTCGTTAGGGCTCGCATACGAGAATTCACTTAGTCGTTAAGGCTCGCATACGAGAATTCACTTAGTCGTTAAGGCTCGCATACAAGAATTCACTTAGTCGTTAAGGCTCGCATACAAGAATTCACTTAGTCGTTAAGGCTCGCATACAAGAATTCACTTAGTCGTTAAGGCTCGCATACGACAGAATTCATTTAGTCGTAAAGGCTTGCATGCGAGAGAATTCACTTAGTCGTTTAGGCTCGCATACGAGAATTCACTTAGTCGTAAAGGCTCGCATACTAGAATTCACTTAGTCGTAAAGGCTTGCATGCGAGAGAATTCACTTAGTCGTTTAGGCTCGCATACGAGAATTCACTTAGTCGTTAAGGTTCGCATACGAGAATTCACTTAGTCGTAAGGGCTCGCATGCGAGAGAATTCAGTTAGCTGCTAAAGCACGCATGTCAGACAATTCTGTTAGTCGTTAGAGCACGCATGTAAAAGAATCCGTTTAGTCGTAAGGGATCGCAAGCGAGAGAATTCACTTAGTCATAAGGGCTTGCTTACGAGAGAATTCATTTAGTCGGAAGGGTTGACATGCGAGAAAATTCTCTTAGTCGTTAGGGCTCGCATATGAGAATTCAGTTAATCGTTAGGGCCCGCATGCGATAATTCACTTAGTCGTAAGGGATCTCATACGAGAAAGTTTCATTAGCGCCTACATGCAAGAGAATTCGGTTACTCGTTAAGGCCCGCATGCGATAATTCAGTTAGTTGATAAGGGACGCATGCGAGGGAATTCAGTTAGTAGCTAGGTCTCGCATATGAGAATTCAGTTAGACGTTAGGATTCGCACATAAGAATATAGTTAGTCGTTAGGGACCGCATGCGAGAGAATTTCATTGGTCACTAGGCCCCACATGCAAGAGAATTCAATCATTCGTTAGGGCCCGTATGCGATAATTCATTTAGTTGTTAGGGCACGCACGGGAGATAATTAACGTTAGGACCGGTATGCGGTAGAAATCAGTTCGTCGTTAGGGCACGCATGCGAAATAATTAAGTTAGTCATTAGGGCCTTCATATGATAGAAATTAATTGGTTGTTAGGGCTTGCTTGCGAGAGATGTTCATTAGTCGATAGCCCCCGCATGCGAGAAAATTCATTTAGTCGTTAAGGCCCGCATGGGGCGATATTCCTTACTTTTCCTCACCGCACATATTATAAATATAAACTAAGTACCCGCACGACGTTTTCTTTACATCGACTAATCATTTACATTCGTTAACCCGCATGCGGGGAAACTCCTGTGTATTGCCATCTCTCTCATTCTTTACAAAACAGAGATAGCAATAGTAAAAGTATTCGCAATGCAACTTTACGATTGTATTGTCTTGCTAAATGTTTTGTCTAATAGCTGTAATGTATTTTTATAGTGTTTTCACTTTTGTCTGTACAAAAGTATAGTCATCTCTTTCGCTCTCTTTGTAACAAAGATACCTATATGTTTAGTGGTATGTGTTTCGGTATCATCTACGGTTAACTGGTACGACTTAGGTATACTCTAGTAGGTGTAAGATGGGAAGGGTAGGTGCATTTAGCAGAGTACGAGACGACGAAGGGGATATATATTTTTGAGCGTCTTCGTGTAATGTAAGGCATCTGAAATTGCTGATGTTTACGGATAGCAGCTTCGCTATTTCGGCGAAACCAGCTAACCGCTTACTCGTTAGCTATATTCTAATATAAAATATTTAGAAATATATGATTATAAATGTATGTAGATCTTAGTTTTTTGATATAAAAAATAAAATCGAATCAAAAATTTTCTTGTGTGTGCGAGAGAGAAAGATATAGTGAGATAACATTTGAACAACGCTTTATAAATACTTTTGTGTTTTTATTAAATTATTTTAGTAAGCTTTTCCACTATTTTTAAGAATATGTGATTACTATGAACTTTTGTGTCTGGTGTTTGTGAAATTTTAAAATTAGATTAATTACACTTAATTATTATATAAAAATAAAATAATCCATAATTTTAATCAAGAATTTCAAAAGTAGCATAGTTATTTTCAAATATATTGTCTTATAAGGCCTTTCCTCGCTAAAATTATATTCTACAAAGACTCGTATATGTTCCGAGATACGACAAATTCTTTTAAAAAATGATTCTCGTTAAATAACCTGTTTTAATCGATTTTTAAATTTCCAGTATTAATCATACTTTTTTATATTTTAAATTGTAATGGTAATTTAAATAAATTTTAATTAAAATCGTTTGTTTCTTATTTATATTCTTTTATATTTTAATATTCCATACATATTAACAATAACAGAGTTCTTAGTTTCTAGTACTGAATAGAACTGTATCTATTTAATAGAATATTTAGGGCCTGTCCCACTAAATTGTAAATTGTCTGATAACAATCCAACGTGTAAAATATCTGTGACGTCATTTAGCTATCTGAGCCTCTATCAGCCAGTGGTGGGACAAGCTCTCAATGAAATATTCCTAAAACTATATAATTTTCTAGTTTACATGTTTTCGTAATCGTTAAGCATTTTGGTCTCCGCCTTATGATGTTCGTCTAACACATGAGTTCTTTCCAGTCTACTTGCAGCTACCTTCTCAATCTCCTCATAAACTGTTGGATAACAAGCTATTGTACTATCAAAATCTTCCTTATTCAATTTAAACAGTTCACAATTGGTAACAGCTACTGCGGTTGCGGTGCGTAATTTGTGTTTCATTGTAAGAGCGATGTCGCCGAAAAAATCCCCATCTTCTAAATGACACACTTCTCTACCAGACTCAGAGTAGATCGCGACTGTACCTTTGTCGATAAAGAACATACAGTCACCTGGAAAAGTGAAATAACTCAATGTTAGGTGTTGCCAGCATCAACGTAATACCGTAAAATATAACACATCCGTAAGCGTAGAAAGCATTATTTCATCTTTAATTCGAAATACAGTAAATCCCTTTATAACGCGAATCTCTACATTATTTTTGTACCTACCATATAACGGAAAATATCGGAAATAACGCTAATACAACAATTATTAAAAGGTGAACCACCTATAACGTGATTTATGGCTTTGCCCTGTTGATAAACACGTTATAAGGTGGGAACCTAAAACTCTTATAACGTGGGCCAATCAACCGCGTTATAGAGAGGTTTACTGTAATGGCCATACAAGAACATAAGGTGTTGTTAGTTTTAAACACGACTGATCACTTGATATGTCATACTGTCAAACTTTCCCAAGAATGGAGTTAGTTTGCATTAAAGGACTTAAGTAACGAATCGACTCTAAGTATGTCAGTTGTGAATCTTTGATTAAAATTTTACCAATAGTATTTATCTTCATTATAACATCTCCGGCGATAAACAATACCATCTGCAGCCTCAGGCCAACTTCTAATAGCAGAGCTCGTGGTATGTGCTTCAAAAAGGCCACATCTCTCATCAACTGACGACCGCTATACATTATCAAATCTTCACGCAACTGTCCCGACACACAAGACATCATACGAGACTCCTATAAAATGACGTCATTGTCCTTATATCGTCGTAACGACTGCCTCCTACTATACTTCAGAGAAGAAAAGGTATATGTATAAAACCCCACACATTCAAATATTATTCGACTATGATGTTCGTAAGTTACGCGTTTCTTATCACGAATGGGTTGTTTTAGCTCCCGAAATTTCAGCACAAATAGTTCTGTCAGTCATTGGGCTCCAGTCTGTCCGTGAATATGGCGCATGCAACACAATCGTGGTAAGAATACCGTATATTACGAACATTATATTTGTAAAAACCACCATGACATCTATTACTGTAGGAGACCACAATCGACCCCCTTGTTCTTAAAATGATAGGGTGGGACAACAAAGAGAAAGGGTGGAGATGCAAGGAACGGGAAATATTCTCTTTGTATAGTAAAAATGTTCCTATGACGAATACTTACAACAAAGAAGTGCGATTGGAACCTTAATGAGTAGAACTTGATGATTTTCTTCTTAATATTAGAGGGATACTTCCTCTGGTTCATATACGTCTCGATCTGTTGCTGCATCATGAAGTATTTAGCCCGTGCTGACTCAGACCCGAAGAGTGCAATTATGTATTTGAAAGCGCAGTGTAAAACTATAATCTAGAATTGTTTAAACAAGTATATTGGTACTTGAAATCTACGTCTTAAATGTATAAGAAACACCATAAACTATACTAATATTATAAGCGGAAAGATTTGTATTTTTATGTATTGGAATAACTCAAAAACCGATGAACCGATTTTAAAAATTCTTTCATCATTAGAAAGCTATGTTATCGCAAAGTGACAGGCTATATTTTTTAATTTCACGTAGACGAAGTCGCGAACAACAGCTAGTTCTAAGTGAGATTCTGATAATTGTGGATAAACATAAGAACAAAATGATTTGCTTAAGAAAGGAGTGGATTCAGATATGACGGCTGATAGAGATGTATGGAAGAGCAGCACATACTGTGCCGACCCTCCATAAGGGATAAGGGCAAGTGGATGATGATGATGATGACAAGAACAAAATGATATTCAAGAATACTGCATTGTTACCTTAGCAATTACCCAGGCCACCATGAAAAAGTTTTCGAAACATCCATCCGTTTTTAAGAGGTTCAAATTAGCGTTGCCTCGTAACATGCCCACTGAACACACATACAAGCATGAAAGGTAAAAGAAAATAATTAAAAAAAATCAATGCAATATGAATCCTAAAGTGTTGTTAATCAAGGTACATATTTCATTATAATCCATACTCACCAGCTCTGTCAAAGGAATAAACGAATCTAGTTGTAGATGTTTGATTCCATAGTTTTCCTATCGTTAGCCAAGAACAATTCCTTGGATGTTCCGGCTGATAGCTTTGTTCTAGCATAAACTCCACCATAAATTGGAAATACACGTTCCAAGTTAAATATGATAGAATAAACAGACTCGATTCTACTAAAGTTCTTGATAGCATCTGAAAATAAATGCCTAATGAACTAACGAATGGTCTCGAATTGTCTGAAACAGTCCCTAACCGTCTTCAGTTCGCATACAACCTTAGTGAATTAAAAACTTTTTGATTAGATACGGTATTCTTTATTCTGTTTTGCACCTTTGATAAAAAATTGAGCAGATTGTATTTTGTACCTCAACAAAGGAAAATGTCAGTTTCTTAACTTTAAAAATCATAGCATATTCTCGGCAAGTTTTTATGTTCAAAATCAAAAGTTATGTCAAAATGGCTTTGCAATAAAGGAGCAAATGTGCATATAAAGTTGTAAATTTAACAAAAACTAACCTTTATTTTCAAAACTGTAACCAAATTCTTCACGTACATATAAAGAGTGAGCATTCTTAATATCTTGAGAGACCCCAACACATTGCGTGATTCGTAAAACAGATCCAAACACGACAATGATGACGTCACGTCAATAATGAGCCAAGTAGTAATGTACTTCTTAGCGATCTTCCTCAAATCTAAGACAACTCGTTGACAAGTATTACCCTCTATGTAGCCGGTGAAGAAATTGAAGAATATATTAAACATATAGAATAAATCTAAAGATTTGACAGCAATACTAAAGTAATCCTGGAAGAGAAACAGATTCTTGTGAGTAATGAAAAAAGAGTAACACGACTGCCACTGTGAACTCGAAAGGCAAATCGTTGCCATGTTACTTGTTAAATTCCCTTTAAGACGTCATGAAATCATCTCTGACAGTGGTAGAGCCCGCTTTAACATTTTCGCACGAATGGGTCGGCTGGCTCCCAGCAATACCACGGCGAAACATAAGGCAGGTGTAAAGTGCGAGCAATTACGTGTTTCGTCTAATGAGTGTGGTGCCGGAGGCCTAACTTTAGTCCCTATTCCTTCCTACGCTTTTTCTTTCATTGGAATAGAAAGAGAACGTGAATTTTACGGTGCAGACACATAAGAAGGGGAAATATTCTCTTTGTGCGTGTCCTCTATCGATTAAGGGTAGGCAACGCATCCGCTATTGCGCTTTGCCATTTTGGCGGATTCAGGTGGCCGCTTGCTCGTTTGCCGCCTTATGATATATAAAAAAATCTCATTCTTCTTCTGTTTCTTGTAGAAAAGGACGAAACTCAATTATAATGTAATATATGTGTAGATGATAGTATCAAATTACATCACAAGCATAATATTTCGCGCTAACACGGTTCATTGTGGTCGCAACATCCCGCACCTGTACTATTAAGCAAACGAGTTCGCTGCGCACATTGTAATTTAAGCTAAATATTCAAAACATAGGGGTTTTGTATGCTGCGGTACATCGTGACGAATAATTCTATTTGACGATTTATTTTGAAGCGCGTGTTACAAATTTAAATGTAAATTTTAATCTAGCTTGTATTATAAACTCATGTTTCATACAGTTGCATAGAAATCTACGCGTTTGGATGCAGATATTTTGTTTTACTAATATACTCGTAGTATTAGAAGACATTGACAAAACATTATTTTCCACTTGTTACAATTTTCTATAGGACTAATCACAATATCTTTGCTTTCCTTTAATAAGCTCTGACGGGATCAGAATACGAGTAAATTATTTTATCCACAATTTTTCAGTTGAAATATATTCGTCATGTTTGGAAAACAGTATCTTACCGCGACTCCTCCCGAATGGAATTAAAAAAAATTAAGTATCCTATGTGTTCTTCCAGACTATGCTCTACATCTATACCAATCATTGGAATCCGTTCAAACGTTTAGACTACAAACTTAAACATCCATCCAAAATTTCGTAATTATAATATTAGTAAGAAGATTCCTACGCATACTTACGTGTACGTCAGGCTTAGTTCTGCTGATCAATACAGCAACGCCGATGTTAGACAACAGCATGATAATAACAAACAGAGCTTCTAACCACAATCGCACTCTACTAAACGGATGGATTGAGAACGGATAATGCCTACACTGTCGCTGTCTTTCCATACATAAAGCTGCGTAAGACCTTGAAAAGACCAAAACATTGGATTTTACACTCTATAGGTGCAGTAGATGTGGTTTAAAATTGATTTCTCCAATCTTAGGGACTCGAGGTTACCCTAAGTTAGGATGACTATGCCTTAACAGTGACGGCGTCAGGGTAGACCGTGATTGACTGTCTGCCCAGGGCGTTTGACAGAAAGGGGTGCCAAAATCTGCACATTATACTATGTCAAATTTCGCCCTGGCTACTCGTAGCCCTAAATCTGATACTAGACCTTAGTCAACCATGGTCACCAAGTAGTGGACTTCACAGTGAAGAAAAATGTTATACAATTTACCTGAACATATTTTTGGCTCTGACGTCACCCGCGTGCACCGATATAAGTTTAAGGATGAATTTCCTAAAACGACTGCATTGTATTTCATAAGTGGATATCTTGTCAAGTGGCAAGAAACACTTATGTCCTTCGAAGTAACCGTGAGAAGCATCCGTTTTCACTTCTCCCTCCTTCGCCTCGTAAACCTTAGAATATCTTGAAATGAACATCATTTATTAATTTTACAGAATAATTGAGAATATTGTTTGTTCTTATAGTATTTTCTTTTTAACTGTCATAATTATATTTCTTTATTTTCAGAACGATTGTCGTAATAAGGAGGTTATATAAAAAAGATGATGCAGGCGTCGCCAGCCGATGATCTAAGTAGATTCCTAGGTCCTTAGCTCCTCTAGGAGTAGCTACCATCATCAATGGTGGTATCTTAATCAAAGTCGTTTTAATGTCTACTTAATTATTCGATTTTCTTGAGAGATCGCTAGCTGTTCCTCCCACACCTACCTATTTTACTTCTCACTAATATTATAAATGCGAAAGTTTAGATGGATGGATGGATGTTTGTTAGAGTCTGTAGCCTAAACGGCTGAATGGATCTCGATGAAATTTGGTACAGATGTAGAGGATAGTCTGAAAGAACACATAGGCAACTCACTTTTGTTTTTTTTTAATACCACGCGGACGAAGTCGCAGGCAAAAGCTAGTATGAAATAAAAGTATTGTTTCTTTATTACTTTTGAATAAACTAGAGTGTAACAGGGACCCAAAATAGGCCTTGTTCTTCGATAACAAAAGACTATTATCATCATCTCGATCCAGTCCTGTGACTGACTCTCTTAGATATTTACACTTTACGTACTCAGCGAAATCTGGTAAGGTAAACGGACTTTAAATGAACAAAGTAAATTTTTATCTGACACTTTTATTGATTTAACAATCTCCATGATATTATATTCTGTTTCCCTAATTTCCAAAAATCAGCGCAGGATTTTGAACAAAAATTTGCATTTAAAATAACATCTTCACTGCTATCTATGAGTATTATTTTCCTGGAAATAAAAAAAACATTAGAAAACGACTAATACAATGTAGAAATACTTGATAGTAAAGTAATACTTACTCTATGCAAAATTCGTAGATCAGATAATCAAAAATTGGTTTCTTACAGTATGCGTTATCACATTTCGAAATAGGTCCATTGGACAATTCAATTTTAATAAAATATGGAAGAAATGTATAGAACATTTCGATTATATCTTTCGGTACGTAATAATTTCTTCTTTCACTTTTCTTGTATGAATATTGACAAATTCCTGGCTCCTGGTATTTATTAAAATCATAACAAGTTTCAACATTATTATCGATTGCCAATGTATCAAAAGTTTTTTCAAGATTAGCTAATGCATTGCTTTTACTGTCTAAATAATAATTATTTCTATCGGAATATATATTAAAATTAGTTGTATATTGTTTGACGGTTGTTAAAATCATTTGATAGGCGATTCTTTTTGTAAGTTCGAAGAGGCTTGGCGGGGAGTAACGTCCAGTTTCGACAATATTCTTATGTTGGGGTGGACAGTTGATGTCAATTTCATATTCTCTGCATTCCTGATGTATTGTTAAACGACATGTCATATTGTTTGATACTTGTCGATTCTCTGTAATATTTAAAGATCTGAAATAACATTATTTATGTGATGAATAAGTTCTTAAAACACAAATTTACGCCAAGTTGTATGGATAGTGGAGAGCAATATAAGAGGCACGCCTTTGACTAAACTATAGCGCAATTTACTCTCGCTTTGATTCCTCTGAGCTTATATGTATGTGCGCACACTACTCGATTTTTAGTTGTGCAACTAAACAGTTGAATTGACTGCAAAACAATCGACAATCTCACAACGGTTGTAAGGTTGCAAGTTTAGTCAAACGTGTGCGTCCGTTCTAAGTCTAAGTAAAAGACAGATTGCGTGAAATTTGACTTGATCAAGTAGGGTGAACGACTTAGATAACGGAAGTTCATCGATCTGGTGGACGAATACTTGACCCTACGTGAGCGATAAACACAAGGTCGTTTGTTTTAACTTATCCTAACTTACACTTACCCTATGTTAAGACTTCTAGTTTGTTGTTCTCGAAACATGTGATACCAAAGCGAATAAGGTATAGTCTTCAAGCCGGGATTTCGCCAGAATCTAAACTCGCAGTGGAAATAATTGTAGATCGGTCTTTGTGGCAACCATTGCAACTTGTTATCTGGTGAAAACGACATTTAATTATTATATAGAGCCAGTTATTTATTTTCATTAACTGCATACGCTATTATATAAAAGTTAAATGTGTGCGATTGTCGATTGGACTATTTAGTTGCACAACTAAAATTGAATAGAGTGCGTACCTCCATATAAGCTCATAGAAATCAAAGCGCGACTAAACAGTTGTGCGATAGTTTAGTCAAAGGTGTACGCGCGCTCTTAAAGTCATAAAATTCTAACGCACTATACATTGATGCTTTTTCCGGTATTACATGATGATTTCGAAAGATGAGTAAATCACGAAAGCTCAAAGCAGGGCAAACAAGTCTAATGAGGAAACATAAAAATTGATATATCGCATAGCAATGCTACAGACATCTCTAAAAACTGGGTCTTCAATTTTACGAGCGGAACACACTACGAATGTAAAGCTCCACTGTTGTGTTACCAATTATAGGATAATAAAACTACTTTTCCTAGATTCATTTGTATTTTGTTTTTAATTTATCTCGAAATTATATTTCAGGCCATTAATAATGATAACGTGATATCGCAGTTAAGTGAACTTAATAAAACAAAAATAGGACACTAGCTAATTATAGCCAATAACAAAAACATACTAATTATAAAGGGGAAATATTTGTATGTATTGAAATAACTCAAAAACTACTGGAGCGATTTTCAAAATTCTTTCACCGTTTCAATATTAATCCTTATCCTAATAAATGCGTTTGTTGTCAGGAGAATTTAATGTAGATTAAATTTGTCCTTTACAGTATTTAAATTGGACTAATAGTTTAGAAGATATTGCCAACACAAACAATAAAAGATAACCGAAAAATCACAAAGTACCGGGCTTAGAAAGTTGGAATGTTGCATTGTTAGATTTCTGTTATTACGTAGTAACTACTTAGTTAATACTTTCGGTAATAGGTTGAAAATAGGGGCGAAAGTAAGTTTTGAACTTTCAATTTCACGCGGACGAAGTCGCGGGCAACATATTCACTGTTGAACAATCGAAATGTAAAAGTTTAACTATAATGTTAAATGTGTTTTTTCTTGCTTTTACTAAACACGAATAAATTATTTCATAGATTACCACAAACCGAAAGATAGCGCAGTGATCTCAGTTCTGACATTCTCAATGGCAGTTCCCGAAGCTCGTTTTCGTCCAATATTAGGAACTTGAGTTCCCTAAGTTCCCCGATCTCGTCTGGAACACCCCGCAATCGGTTCCCGCTCACATCCAGGCACTTGAGTCGCTGCAACTGGGAGATCTCTCGAGGCAGTTCCGTAATATCGTTCCCGGTTAAATACAAACTTTCCAGGTTCCGTAGTTTACCAATATCGTTCGGGACACGCGATATTAGATTCTCTTTTAAATAAATATCTGTTACATCGTCTTCCTCGCCTCGTAAGTGCTCTATTGGAAATTTTGTAAATCCCCTATAATTCCAATGGAGTACCGTACTAGATTTTACGCAATCCATTTTTAATGATGCAATCTGATTTCGCTCTCGGAGAAAATGGGATAACACTCGAGCGGGCAAATATTTCTATGTCATTTTATGTTTTCTATTTAATTTGAAAACCATATCAATGTTTTTAAATAAATCATTTATTAGCACTCTTATCCACACTATTTTTTCTTTTGAACATTTCACTGAAGATTAAACACAATTAAATCCACAAAAAAATAATCAAAGATACGAGCTTTTCATATTCCCGTCTGTTGTAAACTGAATCTCTATAACACGTACGGGCGTACGATTATTTTTAAACAGGAACAAGGTCTTTCATTTGCCCAACATTTATAATTAGACTGTGGAGAGACGAGAGGTTTTCAATTTAATAAAAAAATATTTTTTTTACTTTATAAAACATCGTGTCGTCTTTGTCTTTTCAAAGAGATAGAGCAGGATAAGGTAACATCAACAATTTATAAAACAAAAGATGAACGTATCATGTAGGTCTACACTTTAGAGATAATGCATTTATCTGGCGCTCGCCGAAACGGTTTATTGTTTGTATAAAATATTTAACGCAAAAATATCGGGAGCCAATATCTGGAGTGATGCACCGCTCACTGGCAGCCATCCAAATAACTCGAGGGCATTTCAACTAGACGGATAAACAATGAGAATGTACGTCAACTGGTTGTAAAAAGTGTTATTTAAGTGCCTTAGTACTGCGATGGCTCAGGGGTTTAAGCACTTGTCTTCTAATGCAGGTATTGGGTTCGAATCCCGCCATATAGCAATATGATTTTCGATTTTAATATTTGTAGATGACTACCCGGTGAGCAATAGTCCGTACTATGTGTGATCTATATTGAACAGTTCCACTATTCAATTGAAGCGTAAGTTAGAACTGAAGTAATAGCTTTTTCTAAATGGTTCCAAAAGGAAGTTAAACAACGGTTCCAGGTTAACATTTAATTATCTGAAAGAATTATAATTTTAAATTATCAATTTAATTTAGACATATTTAGTAAAATACAGTGAAAAAGAGATATCATCAGCATGAAAGAGCCAATATGTCAATTACAAGTAGAAAAAATTTAGGACAACATTAGTGAAGTACAATCCACTGATCTCTAAAATTGGATAGGCTATAGTACTTTGTGCCAATTTGATTTCCGTTGAGAGTTATGGTCATGAGAATTGGAACTAATATTAGATATTAAATTAACATCAATGTACGCTAGTAAGTGTGAACTAATCAATAGCTGTCACCTAGCAATTACCTATCCATTTATACAGATCAGTACCATCGCTGACACATGCAAAGATATAAACAGTTATTGCGTGAGTTAAATTAATTTGCGTTTATGACTGCATACTTCACTGATGCCGCCTCTAAATCACATTTAAATAGAAAAAAAAAACACACATACACACCACTAACAATAAATCAGACTTTAATTTATTATCATTAGGTATTATTTCCACTGCTATAACCCATGTAAAAAAATATTAAGAAAACTATAATTATACACAAAACAGCAGAAACAAATGTTTAGAATGTAAAAAAAAAGAACTTCTCAAAGATAACCTTAATAAATAGTTACACTTAATAGTTAGACTAGGGTATAGCACTAAAATTTGAAATAACGCATTAGAAAAGATATCGATACAATTTGTACGTAATTCTGCACCCCTATTGAGGAAAATTACACACAAATATCATACAAATTTTATAGATTTCGTTACACTTTCTGGCAAATTTTCGTGTTAGTCCACGGAGTGCATAATACCTCAATAAACCACTATTTCCTTTATTCCTACACTAACTAAGATTGTTTAAATTGATAATATTGTTATAGTCAAAACAGAATATACTTTCATCAATAAAGTAATAAATAACTACCATAAACAGGTAACAAAACTTAACGTTTAAGTGTTTCTAGCAATATAGTTTCAACACGAATATCTATTTTTATAAAATAAGTAATAAATTATTTAAATGTGAAAAAACATTCAAACTTAGTCAAACATTTCTTAGACATATTTTATGATCGTTAGATGAATATGTTCTCAACATGTTCTGTTAAAAGGAAGTCGATAAAACATTAACTGGTTACATATTTTGTCTATTTATAATTATGAAGAAACATGATTTTATGTACCTATACGGTTATAGCAAAAGTGACTAGGTTAATTCAAGTTCTGACTAGACATAAAATACTGTTTTAAAGTATATTAAAGAATTTTAAGTCATCCTATATTAGCATTTTAAATTTAAAAGCAGAAACATTAAAATTTTAATATTATTGAATACTCATTAAAAATTATCCTAAACGTGTTACCGGAATATTAAACGATTTTCAACAAACGTCATTTTTACTTAGACTTTAAAACTTGAATACATAATATGAGAAAGACATTTCTTTGTATAGTATTAATATTTCCTTAATAAAATATTAGAAATATGTGAAATATCTACTTTTTAAAATTCTCTACGAAGTATAATATCACAAACTTTTATAATTTCATTGCATTTCGTTGAAGTGTATTACCGTCACATCCAATTTTATTGCTATCTCTGTTTATCTCAATGAGAACGAGAATGATAGCAATATTGTAGAACAGAGGTTCTATTACGAATAATTGTGACAGTTGCAAGAACGTACAAGGACAAAATTTGTATGAGATTTTGTCCTACACTTTACTCCTCCTAATGCAGAAACCTAACACAAATTTCATCAATAACGTTACGAAAACATTGTCATAAATATTCATGATAAACCCTCAGGTGTTACAGCAAATGTATACCGTATTTTATCATCATAAAGCATATTTATCAATGTCAATGAGTACTGTGTGAAGACTTAATATCTACGTAAGATGCGAACTCGACGTCTCTTCTTGGTTCCTTCATCATCACTATCAAAAGATGCTTGTCGACTGTTCAGCATCAGTGCTTGGATCTCAGGGTTGAGAGGTAATACGGGGAAGGATGATCGTCGCGCCATCGGAGCTGGTCTGCCTCCTGCAAATCAGATACAATGGTTACAGATATAGGCTGAATAAAAATTAAAATAATTTTAAAATCTAGCGCTCTAAACTTATTAGTTAAGATTCCTGGGTGATTTGTCTCAAGTAAAATAATACTAGGTGTTAATTTCGACCAGAATTCAAATTTTGATATTCGGTTTTGTTTTAAGTGAGTACACACTAAGCAAATGCAATACAAAACGAATTGGTACGAGGAAGCATCGAAGGTGCCAACTGATTGAGTTCTGAGCTTAGACATTAAAAAGCAAATGTCTTAAATAATTGAGAAGAAGAAGGGATGTACGATCATATTTTTCAGCCTAACAGGTTACATACAGAACACAAAATAGAAGAATAAATAGCAGTTAGTTTGAAAGCCTCTTCATTTTTTTATAACAAGGTGACAAACGAGCAAGTGGCCACCGGAATCCACCGAAACAGAAAGCGACCGCTGCCCATAGACATCCACAATTGCAGATGCGTTGCCTACCCTTAATTGACAGACAGAGAAGGAGAGGCACATAAAGACTTCCTCTTCAAAAATCTCTTGAATTGGATATCTGGTAATGTATCGATGTTCAAAACAATTGCATTATATTTTCATTCTAAACAACTATGTCTAGCTAAAATATTTTTAAAAGCTGACGCGTGAATATCATAATAAATGTTGCATCATTTTTTGACTAATGTGCTTATCCCTTGAAGCTATACAATAACATGAAGCCTGGTTACTTTATTATATAAGTGTGATAGACAAACAAAATTAAATTTGGAGCTTAGTCTAGCTTTAGGTATGGTATTCAAACCTCCTGCAAAACCAAATTTTAGTACCTGTTTGTAGTTTTTAAATTTTCCTTTCGTCATTTACTATTACATAATTACGAAATTACTTACATATTTGGTACAAATTTTACTATAATCGATCAAAATTACTAGAACTTGTATCTTTGTTCATCAGCTGCTTAATTAGGTAAAGGGAATACAAGCAAATTAATATTGCAGAATACTAAGCCAATTAAAACGCATCTAAATATTCACACAAACGTTGAATCTATAAGTGGTATAAATCTATGTAACTAGTTGAGTACGTAATTGCATGGATGCATTAGATGCTTGTGATTAGCAGCTCGGAATCACTAATGTTTAATGAGGTGTAAAATCTGTTGATAATACAGTTATCGATGGCCAGAATATTAATTAATATGCAGTGTTTGAGGGATAGTATCGGAAATGAAGGGACCCATAGAACTAAAAAATCAACAAATACTAAGTTCATTGACAATGGATCCGATAGGTTTGGTTAAACGAATATCCGATAAAATAAAAAATCTAGAATAGTGAGATAAGGATGATGTTGTGGAGATCAATATTGAGAAGACCAAGCCCAAACTTTTAGCAATATTCAAATAAGTACATTTAGATTATAGACAAAAATGTTTCAAGTAAAGAAATGTTTCAATATAAGTCTATCAGGATTAACACGAATTAAAAATCTCAAACTGTACAATCAAAATAGGAAAAAGTCGGCTTGACCGAAGAATCGATCGATAACAGGTACTAAAATTGTCGAGTAAAAAGATATAACTAACTACCTTATAATAATTTTTATTTTAATTTCATTCAAGGGAAGGATTTAATTTGCTCCATCTAAATAAAACTAAATCTAAGAAAATATAAAGGAAATGTGTTAGAAGATAAAATTACCTTAGTCTTTTTCATTCGTCAGGCAGTCCTTGATTAATAAAACAGATAATTTAAGATATGAGTTAAAATAAGAAAAGATAGTAAAGGTAAACATTTACATTCACAGAATTTTATGAAAAAAATTAACATCACAATTAAAGAATATGAAAGTTTAATTAAAAGTAAGATATAGCACAAGATTTATTCACATTTATAGTGCTGTCACAGTTAGAATGCAATTAGACAAAATTTAGATACGTACCAAATAATTTCGCAATGGATTGTCTTTTCATGGATTTCGCATCAGACACTGGCGTCTCAACCGACGCTGGCGCTGAGCATTCTCCTAGGCCTTTCTTATCACTTAGATAAGAGTTAATTGATTCACCCCTAAAGTAAGGCACACGACGACGAGCCTGAGATCCTATCTTACTTTCTTCTTTGTCATCCGAAACTACTGTTTCTGTGATCTGAAATAGTTGGAGACCAAACTTGCTCGATTCTCTTCTCAATGTCTTCTTGTTAGCGAACTCTGCCAAAGAATGTCTTCGTCCACCATCAGGATTTAGCTTCATTCTCGCTCTTTCTTCCTCTTTCGCTTTAACCACATCTAATACAGCGTTCAAAATTAATATAATAAGGAATGTAGTGATTCCTATAGCTGTGATTGTATTGTTCTCAGGTTCCATATTTTCTTTGTTAGTTTTCTTTCGTTCAACTAACGGTTTTTCAGTAAACACTTGTAACGCACTACACGCATCTTTAATAAACAATGGAATGCTCTTTGTCTTCACAACAGGTCTTGCTTCTGATTTGTTCTTTATTATTTCTGGTGCAAATTTAATCGTTTTCCCGACATCCACCGCGTCCTCGTGCCCGTTGTGTGTCACGTACCACATGTTAACGCAGTAAAAACAGTAAAATAATAATGAGAATATGAAAAACAATAACTTACGTTCGTTCATGTTTACATCGCAAAAGCGCGGATTTGTTTTGACAGTGCGGCGGGCGGGTGCTTTCCTGAATACGTCAATCGTATCGTTTAGTATTGGAAGAATTGGTAACGTATTTTAGCACTGGTTTTATATTTTTCGTTGTACTGATTTATTTATCGTGATTCCGAGTGCGCAGAGTTTGTGCTACGTCAGGCCTTAATTTGCGGATGGCGGCCACTATCCTGTGCGCATGTGCGGCTTTCGGCCGGGTCGGGTCGTGTTCGTGGTAGTAGCTTCTGTCAGTATACGTCTGCACACAGCGGTGATCAACAGTTTAGGAAAACTTGATATTGTACAGAAACTGCATTTGTTTATAAACAGAATAACTAATATCCTCTTCATGTACTTTATTGCTCTTGTAGAGTCTAGTTAGACGAACAGTATAGAAAATTATTCATTCGATTCAAATCATCAAAATTGTAATTGATTTTTATTACACTTAACTTACCCTTCTTATTACATTCTATGTTACTAATAGAAATTCTTCCTTATACTTAATTTTATGTTCAATACTTTTTGAATACACATGTTTGTCACCTATTGTTAATTGGATGCTATTTTTTGACACTCTATTACTATTAAACCTGTAGAATATTCAGGTTGTCACTTCACTTAGAAATTAACAGACTTATCTACAACAAAAACTACATGACTCCGGAAACTATCTCTTTTCACTCACACAGAATTTTTTAAAAATTAAATTTCGTATTTAACTCACCATTATTAACGTTATGTTAAAAAGATGTCACAGAAATGACTGCATTAGAATCTCACGTCATATAATTTCTTATCAAGAGTTGCTGTCACTGTATATTGTTCGTCAAGATTACTTTTATTTAGATACCCTCGTTTGACGTGACAAGTTAAGGGCAATTCACACTAAACGGATACATAAAAACAGCTTGTCGTTTCCAAAGATATTTACGAAATGTATAGACTAGACAGGGAACAACATTTTTTTACCGGTAACTTTATTTGATCTCTCAATGTCAAATTGGATACGCCGAGACACTTTTCAGTGTTCGAATTATTTGTTCGTATGTGATTTTGACTACCGAAAACAGATTATGTGAAACATGTTTCAAGTGAAGTGTAAACTATGCTTCCTCTATAGATTGTTTGAATATCTTTGGTCAGTTGAAAACTGTTGTCCCTTTTTTATTGTGATACACGTAATCTGCATCCGCTGTTGCGTTGCTTCTAAATATCTATAAATATTGTCTTCCTGTATTCGTACATTGGTCGAAATTGATATTTGAAATTACTTTCTATTCTATTAATTACTAGCTGTTGCTCCGGACTTCGTCTGTGAGAAATTAAAAAATAATAAATCAGCCTATGTTACAGATAAAGTAGCTTTTCAATGGTAAAATAATTTTTGAAATCGGTTCAGTAGTTTTTGAGTTATTTTAATAAATACAAAAATATAAATCTTTCCTCTATATAATATTAAGTATAGATGACAGGTGGAGGTTAGGTAGGTATTTCTAAAGCACTTTTTAAAGCTACTTTACTGAGTAGAAATAGGCTTTCCATTGATTAAAGTTTCTTGGTCTAGCGCTAAACAAGGATTGTGGTTTTGTTCTCTTGGATTTACAATCATTAGGGGCAGTCTTTTGTTTTTAAATGGGGATAAAATCCGAAAAAAAGAACGAAGCGTTACGTTATCTATCATTAGATCATTCAATTACGAAAGAGTTATAAAAAAATAATCAGCCAGCGAAATATAGACGTTTTTGTATTCATGTCACAAAAAACTTACAAATATCCACATAAAGATTTATATCCGTAATCAATTTTTTGTCCCAGAGGCAATTCCATTCCTATCGCTCGCAAAGTCGGAAATAAGCGAAAAAAAGGGATCATCTCTAAATGTTTTGGGACGTAACGATGAAGATTTGCGAATTTACTTAGCTCGTAAGGATTCAGGATCAATTCTATTGTTTTCCCTTATTAGATAGATAAGTTTTAGACAAGTATAGATAAAACTGAAAATAGATTAATGCCACGTTATGTTTTGCAGCAGTTTTCTTATTAAATAGATACAATGTAAAATTAAGGCGCCTGTTAAATTTTAAATGCAATATTGTCTAATAGAGTATCTTGTTTTTTTTTTTGTCAATGTTTTAAGAGTTAACTTGTATTTGTTCGCGAAAAGGTTAATGAAAATTTTGTTGTTTTTGTTATGAAAAATAACGATTTAATTTATTGTATAAAAATTAAAATCAATAGGTTACTTGCACCCATCCAATGTTTAAACTATTCTTGATATTGTTACTTGAATATTAACTTTTGGAATATTGATTTTGTATATTTATTAAGCTTGTTTAAGTGCACGCTTGAGTGACGTGTGAAGGGCTATTGATTGAATGTGTCATGATAAGAGATAGGTTAAATGGAAAACAAACATTGGATTAGACCTTATCAACACTAAGCCCAGAAGTGCAATGTCAAAGTGAAAATAATTAAATAAGTTATAGTCCAAGGCTTGATTAAAAACGATAACTTGGTTTTAATAGATTTAAATTGCACAATGCGCCTCTAGGGTCCTTAAGAAAATTATTATTTTTCCAGTGAATTATAAATACGTTCAGTAGAAGTATACATTGTTTTTATTTATGTTAAAGACTAATACTTGCGACTTCGTCCGTGTGGAATTAAAAAAGTAGTAAAATATATAGCCTATGTTACTCACTTGTAACATAGCTTTTTAATGGTGCAAGAATTTTTGAAATCGCCTTAGTAGTTTTTGAGTTACTTTCCTTGTATCCAAAATTACAAATCTTTTCTCTTTAAAATATAAGTATTAATAGATCTTAGTATATACTTGATAGTTATTATTATACTAATATACTTCAGTTCAGACTTTTTAGAAAATCGTGTTCTAATTTACACAATCAAATAAAACATTAAAACTAAAAAAAAATTTTTTTGATGTAATAAATGGAACTACATATGTGAAAAAATCCCACAGTCCATTATAGTCTGTTGCACAAAAAAAAAACAACTTCATCAATTTTCAAAATCTTGTTTCGTATTCTGTACTTGATTAAAATCGACTTTTTCAATGCGAACGCAACGCGACGCGATGCGATGACAAAAAATAACATTTCGATATTGCGCTGTAGTTGGAATTCCATTTCGCGCCTCACCACATCCAGTTGCATATTGAAATATGTACACGACGCGTACTTACACAGTACCATTCTATACGAAAATAATATGCAAAAATTTGTATTATGGGTCACTAGTGGCTTAATTTTTCCAACAATCTTGATACGATATATAACATTTCTTCAAACGTAAAAGGGCCAAAATTGTTAACATTACAGACGTCCTTGAATGTAATTAGGCTTTTGAAGACAAACTTTTGTTTTATCGATTCCTGCAAAAACAATTGCAAAGTTTTTTTAGTGCATGCATTAAATGAGAAAATAATTTTGAATCGAAATATTATATTTTAATATAGTAATTTATCTTCAATAAGCAGATGAGAAATCTTCAAAGTGCATAATTTGCTGGAGTTTTATTCAGTTCCCTTTCATATTTAATGAGATGGGTCTCGAAGATGTTGCCAGTTTCCTATTTGCTATTAGCCAATGGTTTCCGTAACCGAGATATTTCTCATTAGTTCTTTGAATGCATTAATAAATATTTGCAATAAATTGAACCTTAAATAAGCAATTTTTTTTATGCGATGTAAGTAAATTACTTTTCAGTGAAGAATTAGTAGTTTTTTTAGATATAGAAGTGAAATCTGCAACACAGTTTATTTTTTCATTTTGAATACCGCTTATTGCTTTTTTCTTATAAGGGGGCAAACGAGCGGCGGGAAAACAGAGGTGATCAACGACGCCCATGTACATCCGCAACACAAGAGGAACTACAGATGCGTTGCTTATTGTTGCTATTAAAATAGGACACACAGATTACTTCCCCTTATTTTTTTTTTGTGATTTCAAGCGGACGGAATGCGGGCGATATATTTTTATAACTGTAAATAAATACCTGGTTGTTATAATTTAATAAATCGATACGTCTCTAATGAGCCACAATTCCACGACTGGGAAAACGTAAATATGTACATAGACTTCAAAGGACTTTTACACACGAATACTTACCTAACGATGTTATATTTTGTGAGGTTTGTTATACTGTATACCTCATTAAAAGTTACTGAACCATACGTAAAGTAAAAACTTATTAAATGTATACTAATATTATAAAGAGGAAAGATTTGTATTTTTGTATGTATTGAAATTACTCAAAAACTACTCGGCCGATTTTAAAATTCTTTCACCGTTAGAAAGATAATTTTTCTGTGAGTAACATAGGCTATATTTTTTTAATTTTAAGCGGGCAAAGTCGCGAGAAACAGCTAGTTATAAATAAAGTAATAAATAATAATCTTCACAGCACTAATCAAAACTCTCATTAAGTCACTAATAGGCAAATACTCAAACGACTTTTAAATATTTAACAGGGTCTTATATGATAAGGTTATGATAAAACTCCAAATTCCTATAAAAATTAGAGATTTAAAGCGGCGCCAAACAAGCTAAATGTTCAAGATTCGTTTCAGTATTCGGTCATAAGTTAGTTTCCGGCACTAAAATTAAACAAACAAAGTTATCTACCTTTTATTAAAAAGAATTAAATGTATGAAAACAAGTTTATTCGGTAGTGAAAACTCACTGTTAGAAAGGTTTAAATCAGTACCTAATATCTTAATAGATAATTAAAAGTAGCATTTGAGCTTTATCGCAAATAACGAAATTGTAGAAAGGATTTCTATTTCATGCCGCACCGCCTCCGGCCTCGTTGCAGAATACAATAAATTGCAAGGGCTGAGAATGCAAAATAATTGTTATATATACGAGTATACCCTTGTTATACTAACTTAAGCCAGTTACAATGCTGTTAATAAATAAATAGTAATAGTTGAAGATATAGGGAGAAAATGTAATGTAACATTCATAGTTTTCGATCTTAATTATTTATTTGTATAGGAAAGTATTATTCATTTAAAATACAGCGTTATTCAAATTAAATTCACAATACTAAGAGCGTGTGCATGCCTGAAACTAAACTATGGCACAACTGTTTAGTCTCGTTTTGATTTACTTTACCTTATATGGAGGTGCTCACACTTTTCGATTTTAAGTTATGCAACTAAACAGTTGAATGGGTTGCAAAACAATCGCACAACTATTATGCGATAGTTTAGTCAAATTTGTGCGCCCGCTCTAACTACCTGTCAAGTGTTTTGATTTGTAAAATACTGAAAATAGTATCCGATTTGTATAGATTCTACAAAATACATGGAAAATTACTTAACGGTTCAATAGATATCCATTGTCTGAGATATAGTTGGACCCCGTGATACTCTTCGCTTTGTCACTCGCGAGGAACATGATTAGATCAGCTATCTCTTCTGGCTCGCCTATTCGCTTCAAAAGTGTGCCAGACTCGAAATCCTTCCAAGTAAAAGTCGTCTCCGGTATTCCAGAGTTTTTGAGGAAATTCGTCACAACTGGTCCTGGACTAACAGCATTTACTCTGACACCGTGTTCTCCAAGTTCCAAAGCAATTGATTGTGTTATAAAATTCAATGCCGCTTTAGATATACAATAAGGCATCAATAATGGCTTAGTTGGTGGTATTTGACCACCGATGCTGGAAATATTTACAATGTTACCTTTGCTCTCTATTAAATGGTCAACACAGAGTGAGGTTAGATGTAAAACAGCACGTACATTGGTTGCCATCACTTCGTCATAAGCGCTCAAGATGTTGCCCATACCAACACTCCCATATCGGACAAATCCAGCATTGTTGACTAGTACATCAATTCTACCAAACTCTTTCACGGTTTGTTCGACGATGTTCTTAACATCTGCCTCATTGGAAACATCAGCTTTGATGATAAGTCTCTTGGTAACACAAAGCGCAGCTACTTCATTTAATTTCGTCTCGTTCCTTCCAACTAGGACTACGTTAGCTTTCTCCTTAGAGAATAGGACGGCGGTTGATGCCCCGATGCCTGAACTAGCACCAGTAACAATTACCACTTTGTTTTCGAAACTCATTTTGAATACTTCTATCAGGACAGATACGCTTGAATGTTTGATGAAATATCGTCGGCATCCAATTCACGGGACAGTTATAAATGTTAGAAAGTTAATGATCAGGCTATTAAGATGTCGTTAAGTCAAACGTGTTTTTCACTTGAACATAATAATTACATCGTTATTTTGTCAACAATATTCATTGACTTTGGTAATATTAATCAACATACAAATATTTTAGTTTTTGTTTTTCAAATTATATTCAACTAGCTGTTCCCGTGCGGCTTCATCCGCATGAAATTATAAAAAAACTTTATTTTACTGTTTATATTTGTCAAATTCTCAATTACAAATATAAAAATGATATGACATGATGACAACCTTGCTTTCTTGATGTTGGCAGCAACTTATGGTCTCTTTCCCACATAAGGGTTTTTATCCAAAATATTTACCCCCTAAGTTTAATGGCGTTAAAATATATAGCCTAAAGCATGACGCAAGTGTAGGGCTTTTTATTAAAAAAAGAATTAATCAAAAATATGCTGTAGTTGCTGACATCATAGGCAACAAAGAAGTGTGTGTTTACGTTTTATTATAATAGTATAGATAAATACTGCACTTTGGATATTGTTCGTGATAACGAAGAGGAAAATACGGAATTCTAAAACATTCTCATACAACATTGATACAGTCCAACAGGGAATAATCCTTCTACGAGTATATGGCAACAGACGGCTTTGTTTTGATGCTTTGTTCGTAATTACTTTGGAACTGTGAGTTTGGTTTGGCTTAAAACTTGTTTATAAATATAAATACAATTTTCAGTTACCTTAAACATAATATAGATTAGTAAATTAATATGAAATCATTTGATAAAAACATAAAAATGAATAAACTTAGCTTTTAATCCATTTTTGACCGACTTCCCAAAAGAAGGAGGTACTCAATTCGTCTATATGTTTTTTTTTTTTTATTAAAGAAACATTGTACTGTAAATGATTACTTTTTTTACAATACAAAGCTAAAAGATGAAGTAAAATTTTTCTTAAAATTTATATCTCGAATACGTTTACAATCAATAGCTAATTTCCTTTGAATAATAATACAATTAGAAACAAACAAAGCATCCGATTCGATTTATTAGTAGTCTTTGATTTGTTCGCCGCAAAGGGGAGGACCGCAAAGGGATTCTTCAATAGCGCGCCCGCCTTGCCTCTAATGAACTCCGATGCTTACTACACAGATAGCCTCTTTAACCACTCCATTTACAGAAATGAATTATTCATTCGTGATATTCAATTTGAATACTGGTTTTGATTTCAATTTTGTGTCGCATTAAATATATTTTTTTGATTTTCAATATATATTTTTGTAATAATTTCTTATTAATCTGTGAAGCGGTAGACATTTCGTTGCTAAGAAAATCAAAGAATCAAAATCGACTTCGCATCGCTCTTCTGTAGGTATTCCTAGATTGAAGTCATACAACCGTTCTTTATTTCTTTTAAAACCGTGAGATGACACTTATATTGTTATGCAGAACATGGTAGAATCTGGAAATACTGGCCAGATAGACTACTTAAGGGGAAGTTACCATTACTGTGATCTTACTCGAAGTAATTTTTATATCTATTTTAGCACCTACCAACGTCCATATTTGTACACATTACTGGCGATTTGAGTTTCCCTGTCACTGTTTATCAGTTTGATTTATGAAAAGGAATTGGATATCCGGACCATAGTTACCCCACGGCGGTAACAAAATTGCCTCAAAGCATTTCCTAACTTTAACCAACTTCAAACTGCTCGATGCGCATTTCTGTCTTTGAGGGTATTTGAAATGATTTGTTCTAAAATTTGTAAAGTAACTTCGTAAACGGACCGAATGGGATAGTGGTTTTAGCAACTGTTGCAAAATTTAACTGTTGAAGTCAGTGGCGACTTTTGATGCGATTTATTATGAAGTTGCAGCGCTTTGTCAATAAAAAGACTTGAAATGGAGAAACTAAAGAAAAATCTTTTTGAAATAGCTACTCATCTATCTATATTAATATTATAAAGAGGAAAGATTTGTATATTTGTATGTATTTGATTCATATAAAAACTACTGAGCCGATGTTAAAAAATCCTTCACCATTATAAAGGTAATTTATCTGTCAGTAACATATTTTTTAAATTTCACACGGACGAAGTCACGAGCAACAGTTATGCATAAATAAATGAATAATTAGTCCTAAAGTAGTTTTAACTGTTTATTAAACCTTCATTTAAATTAAGTAAAAGTTACGCAGATTTTATTTCATCATCACCAGCTCACTATATGTCCTCACCGAGGGGCTCGGAGCCTAATAAGAGGTGACTAGTCCATAGTCAACCACGCTGGCCAAGTGCAGGTTGGTTGGCTTCACACATATCTTTGAATTTCTTCGCCGATATGTGCAGGCATCACGATGTTTTCTTTCACCGTAAGAACGTCTGGTAAATTATGTACATATGAAAATTCGAAAACTCGAAAATACATTGGTACATGTCGGGATTCGAATCCAAGACCTGTAGATTACAAGTCAAGTGCTTAAACCACTCAGCCACCGACGCATTATTTTATTTAAATAGATTCAAACAAATTATTTTATTCATGTAATTGTTTCATTTTCATCCATTTAGCCTAAACATTTTGGTATAGCTCTTTCTTATCTTGATTGTATATTTGTTTAGGCAAAGGAACATTTGTTTGACAAATGGTTCCGTATCGAAGGAGATCACAATTTATTGCGTTGTCGGGTGTAGTTGCCCATTTGTTATGCAGTCAGGTACGTTCATAGATAAGAGCTATTAAACAAAATATACGAGACATTTTATCATCTTAGTATAAATTATTTAATAACCAACTACTGCTATCATTTATTTATTTATTTACTTGCTTTCACCCGCGACACCGTCCGCGTGGAAAATATAAAACAAAAGTGAGTAGCCTATGTGTTATCCAAGTTAGCCCAGACTGCGAAAGTTCTTCAAGATCCGTTCAGCTGTTTAGGCTACAAAGTCTAAGAAACATCCATCCATCCATCCATCTAAACTTTCGCATTTATAATATTAGTAAGATAAGATTTACAATAGGAAGCTAACTTGTCACATGAAGTAAGTTATTTTTGATGAGGAAAAATAAATATGAAACACAATATCATGGATACACTTACAGGCTTACACAGCACTATGATATAAAAAAAAAAGTTTGAATGATTTAGAAAACTTTACATATACAAAAGTTTAAAACGCCTGTGTTTTTGTTCATCTGTACATTTTAAGTAAAAGTTGTTTCATCAGCATAAAATACTTTGTCACATAAAGGGGTAGAAAATTAAGGTTAAAAATATACATAATTTTCTGGACTTGAGCCTGGAAAGTTTTTCCATTATGTAACATAATGAGAACATTACTTTGCAAGTTTTACAGTGAGTTATGAATAACTGCGTTATCGTAAATCTTTGCTCGAGAGGAGTTTTGATCAGAGATAACATTAAACACTTTTGTCTCTTATATTACGAAAAGGTCTTCTTCTTTGTACAGTCAGTCTTCATAAAGAGGTACACATTTGCATTAAAAATTCTTTTTTTAAATTATAAGGTGGCAAACGAGCAAGCGGTCACCTGAATCCGCCAAAATGGCGAAGCGACCTCTGCCCATAGACATTTGCAATTCTAGATGCGTTGTCTACTCTTAATCAACGTAGGAGGAAACACAAATATATATCTGCCCTTCCTATGCTTCTCCTCTGCCGTCAAATGCACTTTCCCTTCCTATGCTTTCCTCATAAGAAAAGGGTGGTAAGAGTAAGGTAAGTGGACTTTAATTAGGTCTCCTTAACTCTAAAGGTCTTCGGCAGCAAAAAAAAATTATAAACATCTATACTAATATTTCAAAGAGGAAAGATTTTTTGTATGCATTGAAATAACTCAAAAACTACTGGGCCGATTAAAAAAAAATCCTCCATCATTAGAAAGCCACGTTATCGCTGAGTAACAGGCTATATTTTTAAATATTACGTCGACGAAGTCGCGAGCAACAGCTAGTGTTCTATAATAGCATGAATTCGTAGTCGCGAGCTAACAGACGGATTCATGGATTCATATTTTTGGAACCTTAGTTTCTATTGTATCATTTATGCAGCTGATTGTACAATAAAAACGGCGTCAACTGACATATCTTTTCCTAATATACGGCGACCAAAATCATAGATCCTTATGGAATTCCAACTATTGGTTACTACAACTAAATGTTGGAGGTCCCTTTTAAGTTGTAGTAGCTTACGCCCGCGAGTCCGCCCGCGCGGAATCAAATAAAACAAAAATGAGTAGCCGATGTGTTCTTCAAGACTGTACTAATTACATAAAATTCACCAGCGTATTAGATAAATAATTGTTTTAACATTTAGTCAATAATTATTAAAACAATAAACGTAATTGTTTTGATTAATATTTAAATCATTTACACATTGCAAGTTACTGTTGATGTTGATAACCAGCAAATTGAAGTATTCAAGAGAAGAATGCGGGTTCAAGTCTCTACGGAAGGCAATTTTCAATAAATTTCCACTTATTAGGTCGTCTGAATCGGGAACTGGTAAATGATTTGGATGTTTTCTTTTGATATTTGAATCAGAAAACTTAATGAAGTAGCGTTGTCTCTACTGTATAAATGTGAGGTCACACTGGTATAACATGGTACGATTTTTTAATAGATTTTTTATGTACTGTAAACCCACTGTTTAATGAATCTACCGATGAATTGTTGGAATACTTTGCGTTTACAAAAAAATCTTTTAGAATTGGTGAAATAACCGCAAAAAATTACAATACGAATATTTTTCTCAATGTTGACTTACAATTGTTAAAATTGTTATAACCAAATACAGTTAGTGTGTCCTAAAATATCCTTGTAATTAATTATGCGCATAACTTAGCTAAGTGAACACTGGAACCCACGTTCTTAGTAACTTATTCATTAGATCATGCGGAGGTCAC